CCTGGAGTTGTGTGAAGGCCCAGCTGGGCTGGGATAGCGGTGGCAGGAAGGGCAGGCTGGCGGCAGGCCCCAGCACGCTGGCTGCCCGGGCTCTCTCTGCGGGCTGCCCCGGCTCTCTGCTGGCTGGGAGCTGCCTGCCTGCCCCCTGCCAGCCTCCCAAGAGCCCAGGCTGTGCAGAGCTGCTCAGGACACCAGGTAGCTGGGGCTGGGGCGTGCTCAGGCTGCCCACGCAAAGGAGGCTTTGGGGCAGCCTGGGTCTGCAGCAGAGCGTGTGCTTTAAGTAAATAACTGAGTGGAGAGCAAACCCGTAGGTGGGAATGGGTTCAGACCTGTTCCCATGTGTCAGTGGAGGCATGTTCGCATGCAGCTTGCTGCTTGGTAGTGTATGTGGCAGAAGTTGAAATTGGGCTCTTCACAGCGTAATTTTGATTTACTGTTTTCTCCTCGGTGTATAAATTTACTGCCTTCATCATATTTAACTTAAGCATCTAATGCTGTAACAGAAAGGGTGTTTGTCATTTACAATGTGATTCTGTGTTTTGTTCTTAGTTTTTTCTTTGAGAGTCAAACATGTTTTCCATCAGCAGATATTAAGTAGCAATTAGGTGACAAATCGATTATTTTTTTTTTCCCACAGCCAATTGTATGAATAGGGCATCCAGTGAGATATTAATTTTCCAAAGTGTTACTCATCTGGGAATGAATGGAGAAGCAGGAATTAGATGTGTTTAGTTCTTGTGCTTTTTGAATGCCAGACATACTGTCACAGATGTTCCCTAGAAAACCATTTCTGGGCAAGGAAGGTGAAAAATAGCACTTGCAACCATAAGCTTAGCTAAGAGAAGTAAGAGTATCAAATAGTTAGGACTTGCTGTTTACACTGCTGTCTCTCTGGCACTGGAGTGTGAGACCAGACTGAAGATCAAAGCCGAAGAGGAGGGAGGGGATTTTCCCAGGTCGCTTTAAGTTGATTGTAATGGTCACATAACGTCTTCCCTGTGGAAGGGTCATCAGGGACATCATTGTCCCTGTTTTGGCTGGGACATCTGAAGGGGAAATGATATTACACCAGTTGACATTTGTTGCCGAACATTTTCACAAATATTAATCCAGTGCAGTGGTTACCTTAAGTATTTTTTTATTAGGAAGCAGCCAATTAAGCTGCTGTTCTTTGTACACACACAAAATTGCACTTTCAAATGCTGATCTAGGAATTAATCCTGGGGTAAATCTTCATTAGCTTTTTGATCAGTTATTGGGACAGTACTAGCTAGTTACAAGAAGTAATTATTTCAGACATGTTAGTATGCAGGGATACTGTTCTGTTCTTCTACAGTGCTGACATAATAAAAAAAGACAATAGTTGCTTACAAAATATTTAACCAAGGGAAACATATTAAATACATCTGAACTGTGAAGTCAAATATTGCAATGTATCTATAGTTTGAAAGTATGTCTTGAACATCAAAGATTGCGTATATAGATTTCTTTTATATATATGTTTATCTATTTATAGCTATATATTTTTATATATAGATGTGTTAATTTTCCTGATTTGGGGAGGCAATGCTATATTCCATAATAATGTAATTAAGTGCTTCTATAAAGTATATTTTCAGGTTTGTATGCTTTTAAAAAATACTTGTGGGAAATCTTGACTCCCAGGTTTGCTTGTTGAATTCATGTTTTCCTTCTAGCTACATAAAAGGTTTAATATCCTGAAAAAACAGCAATCAGTGCTATCAGTGAAGTAACTATTCCATTTCCATTAACTCTGTGGAAGCAGTGAATGAACAAGGACCACGGGGCCAAGGGTCAGGTTAAATTGTAGGAGGTCTGGGCTGCCTTGTCATGACCTGTTCTTAATTTTATGCTTCTAGCTTCTTCAAGCCGGCTAAAACAACCTCGGGTGCTATGCACATGAAGTACTCTTCTTAGGAAAACAGTATGGCCTGCCATGAAGCTGCTAAATAATTGCTAATTCTGATCAACTCTGTCAGCTCCTGTAGAAATGCTGTGAGCTTTAGGTTTTCCTTGTTTTGATTTTTTTACAAATGTGCTGAAACTTGTCCTTTTTTTGAGACTCTTTGTTTTGATTACAAAAAAAAAAAAATAAAAGCAACAGCCTTAGTACACAAGTAACACAAAATTATCTGGTAGAAATAATATTTTATTACTAGTGAAACACAAAAAGTCTCTGAAATCATAGGTATAAAAAGTCTGTCCCAGAGTAATTGCCTATTTGAACTAGTCCTCAGTAGGCATTTATTGTATGTATTTAGTCTTTGTGTCAGATTTCTTTTTCATACTTCCGCTTTGACATAGTTAATAATAATTTTTTGTCAATGTTAATGAATCACCTATTTGTTTTAATCTCTTGATCACTGCTGCATGCTCAAGTTATTTTGGTTCAGAGTAAAAACAAATAAAAACTCCTACTAGGCATCTAATTGTTAAACTAGTCTGTTTTGCCATTCATTGTTGCTATTCTTAATATATTATTTTACTTCCTCTCAGACTGTTTAGTAATGGTAAAATAATTTCTTTTAATCATTTCACGTGTGTAATCTTGTTCAGATTCATCTTGTGCTCAAAAAGTATAATTGTCCCAAAATTGCAAGAGTCCCAAACTTGCCTTCATTAGAAGGCAAAATGACTCAGCCTCTTTAATGGGATTTTTTTCCTTGATATGGACTTGTGGGCCAGAGGGCATCTTACCTTTTTGTTTCCTGGTGGTCTAAATCCTTTTTTTTTTTCCTTCACTCTCAATTCATTTGTATATTTATATAGTCACTGGATTGGGTTAAGTACATTTTGGAGACCTGTTGTGCTTCTGGGAATGATGAGATTGTCAGCTGTGAAAGACAAAATGCTAAGACACATGGGCCGTAATTTTCCTGTTCGTTAAATATTTGTGCTCCTTTGTAGTTTTAACAGAACCCTATTGTCTAATTGAAACAACAGTATTGGAGACTGTTTAATTATACCTTTGGCAATAAATCCTGACGTGTCTCAAGTTGTGGGGTTTTTTTTAATCAAATAAATCAAAACTTGCAGTGAACCACACAAGTTGTGGGGGTTTTATTTGGTGGTATTTTGTTTGGTTGGTTTTTAAATTTTTTGGTTTTGTTTTGTATTTAACTTGATGTCAGGTAGGCAAAGTAATTTTCTGAAAGTAGTAAACTTGGGCCAAAACATTAGAATCTCTGAAAAAAATGGTTTCAAGTGTTAGGACTAGCTTTGATTTATACTTCTCTGTGTAATGAGCACAGGCAGACATTTATGATCTGGAATCTGAAGTTTAACTTATACGGCTGCTGTGGGATCTGTCCTGCATTTTAAATGGTCATAGTACTTCATTTTGTGCCTGTGAATTCATATGTATGTGCATTAATTTTAAGACAAACTGCATTAACATCTGTTCTAGATCTGTTTTATAGTTGTCTTAGAAGTGAACTAAGATTTGTGTAAGTGTAAAATAAACTTACAGAGGTTTTGAGAGCTACTGAAATGTTTGTACATGATCATACTCTGCCCTCCTTGGTTGTGTCAAAACTGAAGTGGGAACTTCTGCTCTATTTTCTGGTTCTTGGATGTGTCTGGAGCATGCTCCTGTTCCTTTTGTCACACCAAATGAAACATGGGTGTTCTACAAGTTCACCATTTCTGACTTTGCACTGGAGGAAAGACCAGAATGCACTGTGGTGTGTGATGTATGTCTGTGTGCAAGAGAAGTGGTCCCTTTGGCTAGAACCTTGTTTTAGAATTTGTGTTTCTCCCAGCATTTGCAGATTGGAGACAATTGCCCTGGTCACCTTCTTATCATGCAACTAACAAGGAGCTTATGATAAATATGTTATGACCTTGATGTGCTGGGCTGGAAACAAGGGTGATGTGAGTCTATCTTGCCTTTTCCAGTTATTTGACTAGTGCTAAAATTTCTGGGTGTTTTATAACAGCTGTATGGGCCAAAGCCCTGTGTCCCTCCCTTCTCTTGAAGGAAGAGTTTGCAGACGATGTGTGCAGAAGTGCCTGGTGCTTTTTATCTCACCTGTGTAAGAATGGGCAGGCTCAGGCCTGGGTTGAAACCTGGGAATTGGGACCTCTCCTGTTCATTCTCCTGCCTCACAAACATTACTTGTGTGTTCCCTTCTGGCATCTAGCCTTTGCAGGGAGGGGAAAGTCTTCCTGCATTGTCACAGGGTGAAGAATTCTGCAGGTATATTCATGGAACATCTTGATTGTAGCTGTTTTTTAAAAAACAAATGCAATGTCAACAAAAAAAAAAAAAAAAAAAAAAAAAAAAAAAAAAACCCAAAAAAAAAAAAAAAAAAAAAAAACCCCAAACAAACAAAACAACAAAAAAACCCAAAAAACAAAAAACCCCAAACCAACCAAAAACCCAAACAAAACAACACCCCACAGTTAAAAAATGGAAATGCCTGGGCTGGGTGCCCACCTTGGCAGTTTACACAATCTGCTTTGGATTTCAGGGTTGAATTTCCTGAGCAAGGCCAAAGATGTGGGGCAGGTAGGAAGAGGCTTTCTTTCCCACTAGTTCCAACTGGATCAGGATATAATGCTGAGCATACGATGCAGCAGGATGCAGATGTACTTGATGCAGCATGGCTGCCTCAGTCTGCTTTATGTTCAGTGGCAGATACAGCTGAGAAGTTGAGTGCTGCTTGAGCTTTCCAAATTAAAAAGAAAGCTCTTGAGCATCAAAATTGGATTTGAGAGACTGGCAGGCAGGACACCTTGTTTCTGAATAAAAAGGAAGCTCTGATCACCAAGCCTTTTACGACTGTTCATGAGTGTGTTAATGGGCAGTTCTGATTCATTGTGAGCTAATTCGAAAATTGCATCAAGTTGGGTGAGAATTTGCCTGTAGTAGGATTTTGTAGCCCCAAGGGCTGGCTCTTGTATGTTCATTATCTTTAATCTGAGGAAGAGCTTGAAAGGCTGGCCTTTTCCATTTAGCATTATTGATGTTAAGTACGATGTACCTCTCCAATTGGTTTGTATGAACAGGAAAATCTCTACTAAGCAGTGGAGAGAAAAAAAAAAAGATTTTGCAAAATAAAGGCCGTCTGAAGTTTTAGTTTTGACATAAATGCTCCCCTGCCAGAGCAATCTGGCTCCTAGCTAGACCATTGCCCAGAAAAGACCTTTCATTCTTCCACACTTACTACTGTTCGACATAATACAGTGGAAACATTTTGCATTCATGAGGAGCTCAAGTGGCAGCTTGAAAGGAAGCATTTACTTTTTAGATACAAAGTATCCTAATTCTTCATCTCTTCCTCCGCGCTAAAACGAGGATGTGCTTTCGGCTTGTGCAAGTGTGTCCCGCGCAGCTGTGTTCTTGTTAGCACATCCTGACTCCCAGATAGAGGGGTGGCGGGCTGGCCCGGGTGAGGAATGGGCACAGCAGGGGTTGCTCGTGTTCTCTGCTCTTTAGCAGGTTTTCAGGTGTGACTGGAGCTACAGCGGGTATTTGCTGGTGTTTCTGGTCAGGTTGAGTCTTGCAATCTTGGCCTGTTCCTGTCTTTTCTTCCTTAAGTGTGTGGTTCTTGGTGGATGTGGTCACTGATGGATTTTCAGCTTTTGATAAGATTCATAGATCCAGGGATCTGCTAATTGCAGGCTCCAAATTAGGCTTTTCTTTCAGCCGGGATGGTCAGGGCAGCTCTGTCGTGGGATTGCTGTTACTTGTAGGTGTCACGCTTTGTCTTGCACACAATCCAGGTACCACCAGAGTCGCTTCCCTCCCAGGCAGCTGCCAGCTGTCATCAGTTGCACAGCTGGAACAGCTGGGGCTGCCCTGGCGTGGAAGTATGATTGACAAGACCGAGGAGCTTGTCTGTGTGAAACCTCACTTAGGATGTTGGGGTTTCTTGGTGTATATTAAAATACAGTGTATTTATCTCCTCTGGTTATGCAGGACTCTGCTACCCCTCTGTCACATTTAGCTGAAATCGTCCAAGGAGGTTCAGCAGTTGTGCAAAAAGGAAGGGGAATGTGTGTGCATGCACAAGTCTCATTTCTTCAGAGAAACTCTCCCTCTCATCCAAACAGCCTTATTTAATAGAGAAGTTTCCTTTAAGTGAGCCCAATTGTTTTGGCTGACTACTTTGGCTGTAATCTTTGAAATTATTGACTATGTTAAGTCATGATAATTAGCTCTGACTATTAACCTCCCACAGAGCTGATTACAGGGATAGGGGTGATGAGGAAGTTTTTTATTTTTCTTAGTGCTATTGTTTCAGTCTGTTTGCAGAGTAAACACAACGAGTGTGGCAGTTGATTATGCTGCAGACCATCTCTCAAAGCAGAGGAGACAGATTGACTTCGTTGTCAAATGAGAAAACCTGAGTTTTAGAAAAAAACGTTCTGGAAAGATGTTGGGAAGGCTCTAGGTCTATGCACCTGTGCCATTCCAACCATCCCCACTGCTTACTTACTGAGTTGTTGTTTCTAGAGCATTTATCCCCTTTGCTGTGGCTTCTCCCCTGACAATCAGATATGCACCTCTGAGAGAGGGGCACTCTGGTCATTGCTCTAAGATCAACTTGACTAAGTTAGAGCAACAGAGATTGACTCCTCCCCTCCAGCGTTTTTACAGACAAGCACAGCCCAAGTCATAAAAGGTGTGTTTTAAAGGTATCTTGTTGTCTGACTGTAATGCTCATAAATCAGTTATGACTGTTGCATGGTGTGAGTGCTCCGAGAACAAAAGGCAGTTATTGATTTTAAGGGAAGATTGCTACAGGAGGAAGGGTGAGCGGGATTTTGTGCGCTGCAATGGGCAGCTGCCCATGCGGTGAAACAGCCCAGATTTAGCTGAAGGGGAGCTTTGTTGAGGAAAGGAGAATCCTTGCTTGGAATAATTGCCTCTGAGCCAGTGAGAATTGACTACTCCAGAGTGGAAACAGGCCTTCAGCTACCTCTGGCACAAACAGCAGGGCTGTTGCAAATCTGATTTGAGTTGCTAACAATAAGGGATTGAAAAGGCAGCAGACCTAGCAGGTGCCTCTGTATTTCCTTAGGCTCTTCATTTATGCTCAGCTACACTTGCTGAATCAAACCTGTAACAACACAAACATATATGTGAAAACAAGAGGGACAAAAATCTTCAGTAAAAGGCCAGGCAGAAGTGTTGTCAAAAACAAAAAAAAGCAAACAAAAAGGTAGTTTCCGAAATCCAGTTACTTTATATGAAAGGAAAATAGAACCGGTACTGTAATTTGCTGTATTTTCTGATATGAAGCTATGAAATGCTCTCTTCCCCCACAGAGGTCATAAAACTGTGCTCTGTGTACCAGATGGATTATTTTGTTTTTCATTAAATAAAGAAACTTGTAAACAGTGCTCTGTACCATAGAGATTATAATCTCCACCATCCCCCTCTTCTTCCTTAAGCACTGGAGCACTTTGCAGGTTGGGCTTGCAAACACAGTTCTGGTGATACCCCAGCCTTCTGCTGGTCACTGCAGCTTGGGAGCCAGGCAAGGCATGTTCCCAGCATCTGAGAGCATTTACTCTGTGGGTTCAGTTGTGCTTTTATCAAATCCTATTTCGGAAAACAAATAAAAGTCTTGTTTGCACAGTTTAAATGCCACTCTCTGTGCAACAGCAGCAGTTGGTTGGGTTAGATCTGTGGAGCTGGCACTGGTGCAGGTAAGGCAGAACAGAAAGAGGAGGCTGACTACTAAACTGGCTTTTATGTGGAAGATGGCAAAAAGTGTTTTATGAAGGTCACCAGGAGTAACTCCTAGTTTTAACAGTTAAGTTGGTATATTTAATTATACTACCATCTCTGCAACTTTCACATTTGTAAGTTGTAATGTGTTAAAAGTTTCGTCATAATTCTAAGTTGAGCCACAATTCTTGACAGTGCTCTTGTAACACCCATGAAGCAGCACACTCCTCACTCCACTATTTCCCTTGCCTAATATGTTTGCCTACTGTCTTATGTAATAGGCCTGCAACCTTTTTTTTTTCAATGCAGTTCTTTTATCAATAAATTTATTGAACAGTTTGCAAAAGCAAGTGCTATTATCTTCATTTATATTTCCATTATAGTGGAAATTTCAGCCGTAGCTGTTGTGCAGCAGCTTCTTATGCAGTGTACACAGGCACTGGTCAGTTTGTACCACTCTCAGGCTGGAGGAAACTGCTCTGGCTGCAAATGCCACTTACTGATGGTCTTGTGTGTGTTACCATGGGTTTATAATTAGATGTGGTGAGTGATAAAGTGTGCATTGAGACAAAAAAAAATATGTTTACTTCTGTTCCATCCACTGGACCTATTGCTCGTGATCTGTTACAAAAAACTTCTCTGAGATTACTGACAAGTTGCATTCTAAAAGCACAGAATAGCTTAATTTTAAGGTGTACCTACTTAATAAATACTGAACTATACTCTGTTTAGTTGAACCCTAGATTAGTATTAGATGCTTTTTCTTGTTTTTCATTCATGTCTTCTTATGTCAGTTAAATGTTGGATTTTTTTCCCTTATCAAGTGTACACATAGCAAGAATACTGGGGTAAAATATTCTTATATTGTTGCTTCATTTTTTTTCCAAATAGTTTAAAAATTTTTGTAGCTCTGTCTGTGTATTAGTTAAAATACATTTGAATTATTATCACAAGATCTGCACGCATTTGAATTTTTCTTAAAAACTGAAGATAGCTAATACTGATAAATATTTATGTCACCAAGTGTAACACAGAGATGCTTGCTTGATGTAATCATATAACTTTAATTTAGCTATTTGATGTTCTTTACCATGCCTTGTGAATAAAGTAGTCCCTTCTGGATCACAATTTTATTCTTCCTGTCTATGCAGTAACAAGCGACTTGTGGCCTTAGTGCCCAATGACACTTCATTCAACACCAGACGAGCCTACACCAGTGAAGATGAAGCCTGGAAGTCGTATTTGGAGAATCCCCTAACAGCAGCTACCAAGGCTATGATGAGCATAAATGGTGATGAGGACAGTGCTGCTGCTCTTGGCCTATTGTATGACTATTATAAAGTAGGTAATTCTGTCATTATCCCTCCCTGCTGCACTAGCAGGGACCACTCATGAGGCATCAAAAGAGCCAGTTTTCAAAGACAGAAGTCACTGCATCTTGTTTTCTCTCTAATGTTTCCATCATGCCCCCATTCTGTTATAGGAAGCCTGTCTGAAAGAGTTTTGATGTATTTAATTCTGGAGAGAAAGAAACAATCTCAGAATTCCCATATTAAATTTTATACCATGGTTGTTTTTTTTTTTTTTTTTTTTGAGCATAGTGTTCTTCCTTTGCAAGAACATTGGATGATACTTGAAATACTGAAGTGTAAAAGGGGAGGCCTTGTCCATCTGTACATTTGTCTGCTTTTCTGGTTCATTCCACACATGTTTTAGTTTGCTCTTTAACTGGGGTATCTCTCATCTGACAATTTCCCATGTTATTTTTGTTTGTATAATGATTGCAGTAGGCTGTATACAAACATACAGCGAGGGCCAGCCCTTGCACAGGCAGTTTGCAGGACAGAAATGAAGCTGGACAAAGCCAGAGATCTAAGTCAATTTACAGGAAAAGCACTGATGTAGTTTCAGTTTGTCATGTTCTAAACCCAGGGTTTAACTTACTATTTTGGTAACTTTTTTTTTTTTAAATATATATATTTCATAGTGTTTAAGTAAAGCTATGTTTGAGATTTTTGATGAAATCAGAGGAGAGTCCTAGAGAATGCATCTCTGTGTAATGCAAAAATGTCATTCTGAAACCCATGCTGACCCCTTGGTACTCTGCCTACAGAATCAGTGTTGTCTCCCAAGCACAACAGTATGAAATAGTGAAATGAGCAGTCTCCATTCCCCTGAAGTCAGCTATGGCTGCCTTGGACAGATTTCTGTGAAAGCCAGCATAGCAATGCCAGGTCCCCTTGTAATTAATGAAGCAGTAACAGGAATGGGAATTAAAAACCTGTGCTTTTAGTATTTATTAGCATAAATGCTTTTAATGAATGGACTCCTCTTTTTAATCTCTTTGCATTAATTGAGTGTTCAGGAGAAGGGGTTGTAGGGAAGATGCCATATACTGACTTTACGGTTAAATATTGTTTTAATTGTTTTGCTGATTGTATTCCTTGCTTTTGTGTGTTGTTGTCAGTAGAGAAAACTGTTCCCAGTGAGAAAGAAAAAAAGGTCCTTTTCTCTGCTTGACATAGTTACCACAGTGCCAGAGTCTGTGAAATTAATACGGATTGATAAAATTGAGGATGTGTATGGGTATCTGGAGTATTGGCTTCTGTCTTAGTAATACCTTTGTATGTAGCAGTTCATTAATCTGATGGATTTTAACAACAAAACCAGAAAATAGCCCTTTTCCTTCTCAAAACCACGTTCTAAAAGACATATCTGCTCCTTTTTCCAGGCAGTTGCTAAAGACTTGGGGTTCAGATGGAAGAAGGTGGGATTAACATCTCAAAACCATTTCCAGCATTCAGTGATATCTATTTTTGTCTTAGATAGGGATAAAATGATAACTCTTTTTGATACTCCCAAACACAAACTTAAAACTTAACCTCTATGCTGTAATGGGGAAGTGTAGAGGACTTCCAATGCACGAGACTCTTGAATTGTCCCTATTTATAATCTGGCTCCTTCATTCTGACATGCTGGATAACATTTTTTAATTACTTTGTCCAGTCAATAGGAATGATTTAAATTTAACGGTTTGGGTTTTGTTTTTTTTTTTAACTTTTCTTTTCCTTGTAGTGATATTTACCTAAACATAGAACATCATTCAGAGAAAAATATATAATCTTAAAAGGGGAACCAGCATATGTAAACTGTGGCTTTTATCCCAGTTCAAAAAATAAATGAAAGAAGTTCTTTAACCAGCAGGATGCTTAATAGGGAAAGGGGATGTCCCTAAAAGAAAGAGCGGCTCTGGATAGAACTCTTGACTGTGCTGCTGTCTTGCAGTTATTGTTGATGTTATCACTGGCTACTGGAGTGCACTGTAATACTGTTTTTCCTCTGAAGTCAGATATTTTTCCAACGTTTCTTTAAAATATTTAAAAGTAAAAAGCATGGCTTTAGCCCATTCTTAGTCTGTTCTTGCTCTTTAATACTGAGTTAATTGCTGGGATGGAGTGGATATGTCTTGTGCAAAATATAGATTAGAAGTTTGAGCTCCCAAATTAATGGCTCAGCAAGAAAAGAAAAATATGGTCATGGCGCAACTTTTCACTTGGTGATTTCATATCTGTGCTGGTGTCAGGACACTGGTGTGTAGGAATACAAGTCTTTAAAGTCACTTGGTGTCAATTCTGAGTCTGTCAAGGGGCCAGATTTGACTGGGTTTTTACCTCTGATAGCGTTTGATGCAATCAGCAAAGCAGAAGTAAGTGTTTCTGATGACATACCAGCATGCTCTGGCCTGTCCCCATACTAAGAAAGGGAAAGATCCACAAACTTTTTCAAAGTGTGAATCCTGCATTCTCCAAGCTTCTCTCTAACAGGAGGACTTACCTGGTTCTTAGGGTTTAATTGAAAAGCCTTTTCTGTCTGAGCTGAAATGGTCTCAGTGCAGAGCTCATCAAAGCATGGTATCTTCCTTCTTATCTTGTTTTATTCAGTGGAGAGTGTGTGTGTGTTTTTGGAATAATATGAGATTTGATTTTGAGATAGCTTGGCCTAGCTTGATATTCAAAAGATAGGACATAAAGAAGAGCACTTTGCTCCTAACTGGTGTGCTGAAGAACTGGAAAAGAAAACAATTCCTATGTTTTTTGTCTTTGGAAATTTTCTTTCTGTTCACAGTCTCCCAAAGAAAAACAGCTCCTGGCATCTGTGAACTAGACAACACTGATAGAGTTACATTTTTCTAGCTGTTGCAGTAGAGCAGTCTGAAGCTGCAAGTGCCTGACAGTTGCATTTACCTGACCCCATGCCTGGTGTTGTTCTCAGGTTCCCAGAGATAAAAGGCTGTTGTCTGTTAACAAAGTGAGTGATAATCAAGAAGACCAAGATAAAAGGTACAGTATTATTCAAAATCATACACCCAGCTACTGAAAGTGTTGATCGGTTGTGAACTGTGAGAGCCTCAGGGGTTTATGATTTTCTTTCAAAAGTTAAAAGAATGAAGGCTGTTTTGGGAAGCACATTTTACTCCTTTTTACTTTCAATTGATAAGAAAAAATGGATAGTATTCTCAAACATGCAGTTTGGGAGGTAGCTGAGAGTTTCACTCCTTGTTTGTGTTTGGTGGTGTTTTGCTGCTGCTGCTGAGATTAGTAAAATCAGATTATCTTGACAGTTGTTGACTTGGCTGTTTTTCTTTATTTTCCTGTTGTAGGGCAAAAAGTGAGTAGCTTGGCCTCAGTAATCTCATTTATAGAGTCCTATTTAACATAATTTAGGAACTGCCCAGCAAATAAAGTAACTCTTAAAGTCATTTGCCTAGAATGTTTTTCTCCTCTCAGATTTCAGCTTTTCTCTGTAGGCTAAAAGTTACTTGAGTCAAAGGAAGCTGCCTCCAACTATTAAGAGCTGCAGAAAAGAAAGAGTGTATATTTTTGTGGAAACAAAGGAGTTTTTACATACTGGAAGGTATCTCCATATAAAATTATGACAGAGATGAGCTATGCAAGGTTTGTTTCAATGTAGCTAATTTGTGACAGCCTTAGATGGTCTTCACTAGCTGTTCTTAAGGTGATTGTTTCAATAGGCAATTGTGTAAATTTACTGTTTCAAAATAGGCTACGAAATGTTTTTTGGACAGTTTTTCTTCTACGAACACCAGAGAAATTCCTGATGTTTGGTTCCTAAATTGAGTGTAATTGACAAATCTGGCTTCAGTGGAAAGCCAAGAGAGAGGAACTGGGCACTGGGTAGTGTCAGAGCATTTCTCCCGGGTTGAAAACAAAACAATGTTACGTCTACTAAAAGTTCTATGAGTTAACAATTTTGTGTCAGTGTAACTACTATCAGCAATCAGATTGCTTTCAACAGCAGCTGTGGGTAGATGTGGGAATGCTGCAGAGGTTACCTTGCAGCCACTATAGTTACTGATCTACTCTCCTACAATGGAATTCCTGGGCTTGCTCTTTTAGAGCAGCGTTGCTACCAGAGTTAAGCAAACAGTAGTGGCCTGTTAACAGTCTGAAAGAGCATGCCATCTGCATATGAATTTTGCTGTTGATATTCTGCCTATTTCATGTGCAAGATATCTACTGTGAGTAATCCATGCCCTGCCTTATTCTTGTGTCTAAAGGCTGTTGTACTGCTGAATTGATTTTGCATCCAAATTATACCCAGAATTTATTGTAACAAATAAAATCAAATGTATTATCTTTCCCCATTTGTTAAAGATGTTAAAGAGCTCTGCACCTCTCTGCTTGCCTCACAATTTCTTTTGCCTAATATTTGTTAATGTATTACTTCTTATGGCAGTGGCTTATCGGAATGGAACAATCTTCTTCCTTGACATCTAAGACCATTAAGCTATTTAAAGAGATTTCCTCTATCAGGACAGTTCATAATATTTTTTGGTTTTGTCTCACAGAAATTGTCTTAATACCACAGAAGCTCAGAATAACATAAGTGGGGGAGAGAACCGTGTGCAAGTCCTGAAGACAGTGCCAGTTAACCTTTCCTTGAACCAGGATCCTTTGGAGTCATCCAAAAGGGAATACAACACAAATGTGTCTGGGAGCTCAACACCCATCACAGGGTCTGCAGTGACTGTGGTTAAAGCAGAAGAATTCACCCCTGTTTTTATGACCCCACAAACACACTATGCAAGAGGAGAAAATGAGGAGCACCGAGGTGTTATCTTTGAACCATATGAAGTGTCCAACATTGCTCCCCACACAAATTATCTTAAAGATGATCAGCGCAGTACTCCTGACAGCACCTACAGTGACACCTTCAAAGATGGAGGAACAGAAGTAAGTTTTTCACCTCAAATTAGCATCTAAGAATGCAATAAAAAGCTGTAAACAAGATAAAGGTATTTGAGCTTGTAAACAAGATAAGGAGATTTGAATTGTCCACAAGAGCCATTAGAAGAATAGTGATGCTTGTTTCAACAAATTAATTTCTACTCCTTGCTGTGTTTCCATCAGTCTGTGCTCTGATTAAAGGGGAGCATCATGAGGCATTTCAGAAGACAATTTTAAAGATGTTATTGAAAATTCTGAGAATAATAAATACTGATTTTTTTTTTTTGTCTTTGGGGATATTGTGTCAAGTAGAAGATAGTTGTTATTCTGAAAGAAGATTTATTTACCATTAACAAGATCTGCCTTCAGAATAGTAAGAAATAGCTACTTTGTAACAGGGAAATTCTAGACGTCCTTTTGAAAATGCAAATGAGTAGCAACAGCCTCTGCTGCTGGATAAGCCCAAGCAATTTATTCAGAAGCTGTTTGTTGCACTAAGCTCTATTCTGCAACACAAGCAAGTGAGAAAAAGTAGCAAAATTAGACTAATAGAGGGGAACAGAGAATTTAACAGACAAGGAACAACTGCGTGTGTATGTACAGGAACGAGGAGGAAAAAAGGCAAGGAGAGCTCCTTCTAACTATTTTACAGTTATGCTACAGTCAAAGTAATTTTACAGTCAGGTAAAGTATGGTGAGTACCCTCTGGCTGCTTTTGCCTGCTGCAGAATAAGGCAAACAAGCTGGAATTGTAGAAAGGTGAAGACAATTTAAAGCTGACAGTACCTCTGAAAATAATTAGAGATATTAGATGGTAAAGCTCCCCTAGGGTTTTTCTCCTCCCAACTCTACAAAATTGTAAACATAACAAAAGTACAAGGCAAGCTACATTAGGGCTGAACTGTCCTGATTTAGTATATGAGAAATTTACTGTGTGTTTGTGTATTATAGAAAAGTACATTGTCTCCATGAGCAACACAGATCCAGGATGTCTGGAGGTGAAATCCGTTTTCAGATATAGAACACATGTAGGTCAACTAAATGAATAAATAATGAAGAAATCTAGCTTCCCATTGTAAAATCAGTAGGATCAAACCTTGAATTAGAAACACTGCTCTGCATTATCAAGTAATATTAGTTTGGCAGTTTTTATGTCACTGGTAAATGGTTCTTATGCTACCATACTCATGGCTTTCCCTGGAGTGCTGTAGCAGAGTGATTCCATTCTATTGGTTTGTTCTGGGATATGCTGCTGAATGGTTCCCAAACAGTCCATCTGCCCTGTGCAGAGAGCTGTCAAACATGCAAACTTGTTAAATTTGGACATAAAAAAGAACTTTACATCTATACGTTGGCTTTGCATCCCAAATTCTGTGTTATAGTAACTTTGTTACATGTTTTTGTAATATATTGTTACATGTTTTTAAAATGATTGGTTAATAATAGGGTGCAGTACTTGCCATCTAGGATTTCTGTGCAGTCTGCGGAGACAGAATCCGTTCAAATCCGCTTGCCAAAAGTGGATGGAGTGGTTTTCTAAGTGCACTCACTCCTCTCCATCTTCCCTTCCCCTATTAATTCTACAAGGGAGACTGGACAATTAACTTTATGACCCCTGCCATAGTTGTTAGGGGAGATGTGTGCCACTGTTTTGGTGGCCTTCTAGCCCCAAGTGTTCACATGCATGTGACATGGGAGCAGTCAGAGCTTTGCCACCCTGCTGCAGCCTCACTCAGCACTGAGCCTGTCCCTTTGCTGCCCAAACCCCAGGATGTGCTTAGCCTGGCTGTGCTCTGGCTGCTCCTCCAGCCACTGTTGTGTAGGTGCAGCTGGATGGAGCAGGTGTGGGGAAACGATAAGGTAAAATGTCAAAACATAACGAAAGAAACTTAGGGAAAGTTAGTGTTTAGAAGTGTGAAGGCAGTTGTTCTTACTAATTTTCATAAGTGCTTGCAAAGTATTTCCTAAGTACTGGTGAGAATGACTGGATTTGGATTTGTTCTAATACTTACTCAGTTTTCAAACACATTATAAATACAAATTTAGGAATGGTTTCAAAGCATTTATGAAGTGACTTAGTTGTGTTGTACTGAAGGAGTGCTGAGTTTTTATAGATCCCTCTAGTAGTGGACACTGGTCAATTGCTTGCTGTGTTCTTTGGTTACAGTTTTAACAATTACAAATACCCTGTTCTCATCTCTTTAATTTTTATTTTTGTTTAGCTGTGCTTAGTTTGTTTGCTCTTTATAGTATAAACAAATTCTTTGAGGTTAGGTAAGTAAATTGTATGTTTTTTACAATGTCAATCTCTAACCTTCATATAAAATGTGACTAGCTTATTAATATCCACTCCAGTTTTTAGGTATTTTGAGTTTTAAATGGTTGATGTTTTTTCTGAGTTATCTTTAAATAAACATAGCTGCACTTTTGTTGGTATTTGCATTTTGATTTTATCAAACAGTATTTAATTGGTCTTATTTTTCAGAAGTATCGGAGTGTGTCAGTGGGGGCTGAAGAATATATTTATGAACAAACAAGGTATGGCATAAGCTTTGCAGCATGTTGACTGGCATCAGGCAGGAATGTATTGAGGAGCAGCTGCCTGTGCCCACTTCCCACCCTTCCTTTCTTCCCCCTGGGGTACCTGCAGGGTTCCCTTGATGCTGCCAAGCATCATTCTCCCTGTACTCTCCGGCTCATGTTAGCTCTTGGATCTGACCGGTTTATATCTTCATCTGTTGCCTTCCCTCAGCATTGCTTTAAACTCATAATTCCTCTGAAGCTCCCCTGCCCAAGATATTCAAGATGAAATCTGTTGAGAAATTGGTTTCCCAGGTAAAAGAGTATAGCTTTGACAACCAGATCATGAAAAATCTTTTCAGGATGGCAGAATGCACAAGTCAAATGTCCAGGACAGTTGAAAAGATTCAAGAAAAAGCTTCAAAAATTAAAGTTTGAAAAGACTACTGTTCTGCCTAAGCACAGAAGGATGTGCATGTAGCATGGGCAAACACTGCAGGGTCCCTTTATCTAGGAAAGACTGTAATCACTAAAGATTTTAAACTGATGCTTTATGTCATACTTGTGAATGGTTCTGTTTATATCTGAGAGATTACTCTCACTTTAGAATCAGGAACATGCCTGCATAGTTTTAGTGGATTAGGCATATGGCTCTGACTGTGCTGAAGGTTCCTTACAGCTTGATATTTTTTCTGAAGAATGTTAAAACAATCATTAACTGCAGTGAGCTCAGAACGGTATCATTATATAGACAGAAGATATGAAACTGATATTTAGCAAAGGCTAGTCACTCACTATACTGAATATCTGTAAAATTGAATCCTGAAGCATTGGTATTGTTAACAATTCTCACACATTTAGGTCTTTCATGCTACGGCCCAGGTTACATTAAGAATGAAACCTCTGAATGCACATTAAGAAAACTCCCAGGAAAGATGTATTTAGTTTACCTGGAAGTGGAAGGCTCAGAAATGAGAATTTCAGATTGAAAAAAGAAGTGGTGAATATGCAAGTAACTGGAAGCTTGCTAGCAGATCTCTTTGTGACTACACAGGGGTTTAGTTGAGACTCGTGGTGAGGTTCATAATAGTATTATAATAATTGAGTGACTGCAATAAGTTTTAAGAGTGAGAGTAATTCTCCTGCTATAGGACATGGTTTTCTTGCCAACTGGAAACAAGAAGAGAAAACTGAAATGGTACTACACAGAGGCTCCAAAATTGGCCAAGTGCAATGTGTCTGGGATTTACATTTTTTGACTGAAACATGCAGAATGCCAAGGAACAGAAGACCAGCCCGTGGCAGACTGTAGGCAATTCTGTTAAGACATTGTGTGTGTCTGACTTTGATCATTCTAAGCTCTTCTCAGCACATATCCCTGTTAGTTCTTCTGTCTGATGTGAGGTTTTGAGGCACATCTCCCAGGACATTCAGTGTGCTTTGATGTGTGTCATGAAGTGGTCTTGAACACAAAATCTGCAGTCCCTACGTGTGATGCTAAATCAAGGCTGTGCCCCTACCTCTAATGGGTGGTCCATCTGTAGGACAAGTGGTGCAGCAGGATGGATGCTGGTTCTGCAGCACTGGTGGTATAGCTCTAATCCACTCAGACGGGTCCACACTTGCTAGTGTTGGCAGTGCCTCTGTTCCCCTTGCACACAGGACAGGGGGCTGTGCCAGCACACACCACAGCAGAGGGCACAGCAGTGCCTTTGTGCTGCCTTCCTGCTGTGTGCAAGAGCCTTCATGGTGGCAGCAGCTGCCTTGTGTGGAAGCACCAGTGCTGCCATCGCTGGTTGGGTAGGTATAGACGAGTGTTTGCTTGTTACCTTAGTTTTGGTTTGACTTGTAACTTTTAAGCAACTAGAAAAATGACTGGATTTCAATTTATAAGCTGAGAAGGAATAATAAGTTGTCTTCATTTGATTGAATGATTGCAACTAAACTGAATAATTGATACTGAGCTGTCTGAAGCTCCTTTTGGATGGAAAGACTGGATCTGTTGTTTTTTTCCTACCTTCTCTTTGAGTGGGGATTTAAATGTAATTATTAGTTACATGTTTTGTTGTGGTTTTTTTTTTCCCATTGGATAGTTAAAATGTCTTTTGTTTTCCGTTTATTTCTATATTGCTATGGCAGTACTATGATGATCTAGAGTATTTGCTTGAATTAGAAAGTTAGGGACACACTGTTGTTTTGGACTAATGTATTCCTCCTGTTGATTCTGCTCTGGCACTGCTTAAATACTTTGCTGAGTTAGAACCTTTGTGAAAATGCTTCCACTGTATCTTCAGTTCAGAAGGACTTTGCATGAAGGTTCCTGTGCAGTTTGAATTTTTTTTTTTTTTTACAAAATCAACATTATTTTAATGCAAGAGAATGTGAGGAGCTTCAGGCATAATTTTTATTGGATTATTGTTCAAGCCCATTATTGGAGGTGGTGGCTGAAGAGGCTCAGTGAGAATTGTTTCCAGCTAACAGTTCACTAGTTAATGGAGCCTTAACTTTTCATGGTTTGAGAAGTGCTTTGAAGTTGGAAAGTTCTTCTGTGAAGGAAGGTCTTTTTAAGATCTAAAATTTCAACACAACAGCTAACTGTTTTTCCCTGACATTTTTCTAAAGGGAGGTTACTTGATTGAAGATAAAGCTAAATGTAGGCACTTCATTCAGTGTGGCTAATTTTGAAAAGAAAGCTTATAAAAATGTTGATTTGCATGTAAACAAATGAACTTACTGTCCATTCTCTTTGTGTTCCTTGTTTGAACTGTGCTGAAAGTAGCAGCTGGACTTTCCATTCTCTGTGTCCATCTTTTGTAACATGTTTTATTCTGGTTGGGTTTTTAAAAAACCTATTTTATTTATCTTTCTGCAACTTTCTTCTAAGTTTAAATATCTGTGGAGTTGATGATTTCCTGCAAATCATACTGAATTCCCTCTTGGTAATTGACACTCTCATTGTGAGGTATGCAGTCTCCTAATTCATAATGGTTCCTTTCAGAGATAGTACAGATCTAGCCTTTGATCCAATAAACTTACAGTCCAGATAGTTTTACGCTTGACTGCGGGATCTGATGAAGTCAAAAAAAGAAAATTGCAATTTTAAATTGCCATGTGACAGTTTCCTGGAATTTTGTTATTAGCGTCTTATTCTTTACTCAATGCAATAATTACATAATAAAAGAGAAAAGGGGAAAGTGATATGGATTTTGTGGGTGTTTCTCTCCTTGTCTTTTCAGCAGCACTTTTCAATATACACTAGAAGCTACCAAGTCTCTGCGTCAAAAGCAAGGGGAAGGACCCATGACCTACTTGAACAAGGGACAGTTCTACGCCATCACCCTGAGTGAGACGGGTGACAACAAATGCTTCCGACATCCCATCAGCAAAGTCAGGGTATAGTCCCATTTCTTTCCTAGGTGGGAATGTAGCTCTGCAGATAGATATGGTTGTGGTTGATTAGCTTTTAATTTAATTTTTTTCTCACTGGAGCATTTAATCAGCTGCTTTCCGGTGCATTTCAGAGAAAACATGAAGAGTTGAATCCATCCTTTGTGACATAAATTTTAAATAATTTTCATTTCATAAGTGTGAGATTTCACTTGACATTCATCCAGAAGTGTAACAAAATTAATTGTTTGCATCTTAGATTCTGTGCGTAGAACTGTAGCTTGTGTATTCAGCAACATCTACCTGGTGAATGGGCCTCCTGATTTCCTTGGTAATGTTTCTGAGTTCATAAATCCTAACCCAGTAACCTTGGAATGAACAATGAGCCCTGTAAATTTTACCCTGAAGCTGGCAGTGCTGTATATGTATGAGGCTGCAAAAATGTTTCCATCCAAATACATGAAGCTCTCTAAAAATGTTGTGACTTTAGTCAAAGGAACCAATGAAAGTCAATGTGAATAGTGAAGCAGACAACAACCTATATATTTCTATCATACGTGAAGTTTAGAGAGACTCTTCCTAAACAGAGGCAATGATTTGGAATCCTGAATTAGCAGTTAATTTTTAGCCTGGTTTCCTTAGGACATTAAGCTGTTGCCTGAATCCAAAGTAAGACATCTCTGTTGCTGAACAATTTCTTTCCCTGCCACCCATTCCTTCCCATTTGTGGTTCCAGCTCTAGCACTTGTAGAGCTGAAACAGGAGTCAGAAGGTCACTGGTCTGACTGAAAACCAGTCCTCATGTACCTGGTTCAGTGCACTACCACATGAGTTTTGAAGCCGTGGAAGCAGAAGGGTGGAAATTATAAAGGAGAGGTGAGATTGCATCCTTCTGGAGGATGTAGTTGACAGAAGATTGTGAAACTGTGTGCAACTTTCACAATCATGTTCTGTTTGTCAGGGCTCTCCTCAAGTGGCTGTTGAATTTATTGCCAATTCCATCCAAAGCTAACAGAGGGGCAAGAGGTTTTGAAGGTATTAAACTTCTACAAGTTCCCTGTAAGTGGTTCATAAAAACATTAGTGGTGTCCTTGGTGGAAAAGCTAGTCTGCACGACCAGTTGTGGTTAGTGCATCAGCTGGCCAGCCACACACACCTGGTGCCACCCAGTACATACAGGCACAACCCAGGACTCCTCCACAGTGTGTACTGCCTCGTGTCCATGGAGAGGAAGATGTGGTGATGGTGTTCACCTTTTATAGGTGGAATGCAGAAGGTCACAGAGTGCATGCAGGGTTGTGTGGTGGTTTGTGGAGGGATGCAGATGATGAATCAATTGTAATCTACCTCCTTGGCTTATAAAGCAGCTTGATAGTGATTTTTTTTTGTGCTTAGTGTCTCAGGGTCAAAATAAAACAGAATATTTAAAAGTGAAGGGGTTTTTCCTCTGGTTTATTTTCACTTGATTTTAATTGTATGATCATTCTTCCATTGTTTTGTACTGTTTTGCTTGCCTACAGCAGGGCTTATTCAAAAAGCCTATATTGCTTGTGTAAAATATTGCATAAAATTCAATCTGTTTCCTTTGAATCATAATTTAACAAAATGAATTCAGAATGTGAATTGAAAACCTTAGCAAAAATCAGTAAATAGTTACACTGAATTTGTCATTAAACACATATATATATATATATATACAAGAGTCCTGCTCCCAAAAAGTGCATTTATGCACTGAATTTGTCATTAAACACATATATATATATATACACAAGAGTCCTGCTCCCAAAAAGTGTATTTATATATACTAAATTGAAAATATCTTTCCTTTAACCAATGAAGGTGACTGTTTAAAACTAAGAATATGATTAATTTTTATTTGGACTGTCAGTAACATAATCCTGGGCCTTGCATTATTTTACAACTGCATTTCTTTTGTCCTGAGTCTTTAAGTACACTGTAGTACTGGACTGATTAAAACCCAATCTTCTACAACCAAAGTACTGTGAGAGTGGCTGGATCAGAATTAGAGACATATGGATATTTTAATTTTTGTGTTCCTGACTATTAATTATTTTGGTGTTGTTTTTCATAGAGTGTGGTCATGGTTGTTTTCAGTGAGGATAAAAACAGAGATGAACAGCTGAAATATTGGAAGTACTGGCATTCCCGGCAGCACACAGCTAAACAGAGAGTCCTTGACATTGGTGAGTGTAAGAACATCTCCAGATGTTTCAGGGAAGATTTCAGATATGGAAAGCTCTGGTGCCTTGCACGGGAATATGGTGGGATATATTGACAATGGCTTCTTGGCTTGTACCAGAGTTTTTAGCAATGGCTCATTCCTGCTAGGACTATGGGGTCTATGGAGCTGGGTAGGGACCATGCAGAAAGAATGTTTTTCAGTATTTACACAGAAGAGCTGCCCCTTGCCATGTGTGTTTAGTGGTGTACCTCCTTCTGGGAAATCAAGGTCTGCACCTCCTCAGGTGTGGCAGAGTGTCTGTTCCCTTTATTTTTTCAAAGGGTGATCCAGTCTTTGATCCTGCAACAGTTATGTTAGCCAATTGATGTGGAATTGCAGCCTGAGAGTGCAGATGTCATCATTGTGGTGACTGCAAAGGAGCGTGCAGGATTCCTACACCCCTAGGGTTTGAGTCTTGTCAGTGTCAGCACTGAGGGAGAGGCAAACTGGTGTGCTATCCTGAGAGACCTGTTTACCGTTCATCCCATCTAAAGTGTTTACTAGCCCATTTCAGCCCCAGCTGTCCTATCTGCATGCTCGGGAGATTTCAGCGGAGGAAGAACACGTACTTGCTGCCAAGGAGCCTGAAACTGTAGTCAGTGGCAGTGTCTAGACATCAAGCGTTTCTCCCCTCCCACGTGCAGTTTACACATGCACCCATCTGCACGGATTCCAGTCAAAGGAGTCGGCAAGACCAAAGCAGACAAAGTCTATCTTGTTTTGACCGCCTGAGGGAACCAAACCATTGAATGGCAGGAATGAGAGGGGGCAGAGAGGGGGGCTAAACCAAAGCAGGGTTACTTTATAGAACACTGAGACACTTCAGGGGCGATTGAACTGGGTGATCAGGGAAGCTGTCCCCAAGCGGTCCTAATCACTGTGCTGCCTGTAGATTTTCAAATGCTGCAGTTTCCACTGAGGCCTGGTGTTATTTAAGGTCAAGTGTATTTTGTCCAAGCAGCTGTTCCAGAATGTCCTTTCTACCTCTTATCACCATTATTCTGTCTGAACTGTTTCATTAACTTCGTTCTTTTTCCCCTTGCCCCCGTTTTCTCTTCTTGCCCGTTCGGGTACCTAACTCAGTAAAACTGCTACCCCAGAACAAATTACTTTTATCATGACACCTTAAAAGAAGAAATAAGCCACGTCACAGCTTTTTCTGAAGGCTGCCTGTTTTTTTTTTTTATGCTAGTCCCTACAAGCTTGTGGTAGTAGTGCTCATACCTTTGAAAAGTATGTGCTGAGCAGCTCGCTGCACTGTAGTGCTAGCACCCTCTGACTCCACTGCACTTGTGGTGTCCTGGCACATTTCAGTTGCCTTACCCCAACAAGTTAACTTATTATACGTATTCTGAAAAATAGTGCTCTGCAAAGTAAGTGCTGTGCATGAGCTGCGTGTTTACCTGTGTTAAAGTGAATGTCTTTTAATTTTCCATTAGTTTGAGGTGAAATAGCTCTGCGCTGACTTTTGAGGCACTTTTGAATACTGAGGTGTGTATTCTTTATTTGCACTGCAAACATGAGCAAAGCACAGTGTAGTAAGACTTACTGATATAGCCCTTTTTGTCAGATATAAGAGCTGTAAGAGCATGGTTCACCTCAGTTTTCAGAAAAAAAAAAAAGACCTAAATGTTGCTCAGTAGAGTTTTCTTGAGAACAACTGAAATATAGCCTTTGCTCTTACAAGTATGGTATTTCTGAAGTACATTACATTTTCTTTGGCACGGCTAACTGGCTAATTAGGCCAGAATGGCTCCCAAGTATCAAGCTGCACTTAGCAAAATCTTCTAGTTTTATCATCAAATAATCTACCTGAGCAACTTAATCCAAATTTGAAGTTGGCCCTGCTTGAACTGATAACCTCCAGGGGTCCCTTCCATGCAAAATTATTTTGAATGACTCTATGAAGATTTCCCTTTACGGTAAAAATTCAGATCCCTGAAGGGATCACTTGGAGTTAATGTCCAGGTCCTGTGTAGTAAGAAAAGAAAATTAAGTGTCCAAAACTCTACATGACCTGTTCCACAGGTGTTGCTCTTATTTTAATTTGATGTTTGTAGCATGTTTAACATCTGTGAATCCTTTCTAATTGTTTATAAATGTACTTTTAATCTAGAGCATGATGTGGTCCTTAGCAGACAGAGGATCAAATTAATTTGGGATGCTCCAGTTCCAGCTGTTTAGATCTCACACAGACATGGGGACTATGCTTGTGCTGCTTTCCATTGTGGCAGGGATCTGTCTGTCTGCTTTCTGGCCCGCAGTTATATTCTGGACATCAGAGGAAATAATGGCTTGCTCCTTCACTCCAGACACACAGGGGTCACTGCTTTAATTTGTTTTGTGTACTGGCTGGTGCACCTCCTGGGAGGAAGGATGCTTCAGTGGATTAGGTGCAGTGACAGGTCTGAAGATGTGTTGATATTAATAAAGATAAGCATGTACTTACATGTATTCAAGTCCTTAGTGCTTGAGGAATAAAGCTGAGGGCTTGACACTTATTAAGCAAGAAGGTAAGGTATTTTCCAAAATTTAGGCTATGTACTGTAATGGATTTTTCTGAAGAAGGAGTAAGGTGCATATTTACTTTTTGTAGGAGGAATAAGGGGGCAGGGGGAAAACAACTTTATTTTCACAGTGCTGTGATACTGGGTCACTAACTTTTTCTTTTAAAATAATTTCAAATAAAGAATACAATACTTAATCACAGTGGATATTGATTATTTAAAATAAGTACAATAATTTGACATACTAGAACAGGTTCAAATATGAAGAGTAGGTGTGGAAGCTTTGTGCTCCATAGAAACTTGCCCTTGTTTTTTTCAGGATAGTTTGTATTATTTATGTGCACAATACAAAAGTACGCAATGACATGTAATGCATGATTAATGTTTAACATAAAAAATGTGCCATTGTTTAATATGCAATTTATGTAACAAAAGAGGAAATAATTCCTGTGCAGCCATTTTTTGCTTATTGAGCATGCTGATTTTCTCTTTCTGGTAACTCACAGCAGGAGAAGAGGAAAAGTTGTAGTCACTCTAACAGCTTTCAAATATTCTGAGGTGTAAATGGTTTCTTAATCAACGGAGGATCCTTCTTTAATTGCCTGTAAATTGAGGGGAATAGGATGCACTTCTCCTTTTTAACAGTGTCACATAGACACTCCATGAGATTTGTGTATAGCAATTAAAGGAGAGGCATGTGTTGAGAGAAGGGAAGGGTTGGTGGGATGTGAGGTTCTGACAGCCTTTTAAGACAAGAAAACAGGTGTCTTTACCAGACATCTTGTTCATGTCTTTCCAAAGTGCACCTACACAGCACGCCCATATGCAGCAGTCAGTTGCACGAGGCACTTTCTGGTGAATCATAAATTTAAGAGGTGGGTGGATGTGTGCACATGCATATTAAACTACTTATGTGTCTTCTAGTTCCTCTCATTTGCATCCCCACACTGAATTTAGATAGTGAAGCAAATGACTTCAGTTAAAAAGGAGATCTGCGTTCAAAGTGGGAATGAAAAGCCTGCCTGCCCTCTCAAACACTTTGTTAATTTGCTACATCACCAAATATCTCGTGCTGTTCCTGTGGTCTAAAGTGATTCTTTTTTACTGTATCCAAAATCATTCGTGTGTCCCAGGAACACAATTTTACTTGCCCAGTGAGATGCCAGCATTCTTGTGTTTCAAATGAGAGAAAAGTATACTGATTGCCAGTCTCAAACATGAAATAATTCTTCTTGTAGCAACGTTTTTTGTTATAAATTATGCTAAAGTAGTTATTATCTAAAATTTATTTTTTAGAGACCAACAGTTTAGGCAAAGGGAATGAACACTGGAATCATTTGTGTGTCACACAGAATACAAAAACATCCTCTTTCTATAACTGGTTAAAAGCTAAGAATCAGCATGTTTCTGAAGCACAGATTTGGGCAAACTTTAGATCAGGAGTGTAATCTCAGCCCTCTAGCACTGAGTCCAATTACAACCCTCGAGGAATTCTTAGGAAATGTTTGTCCCAGAGAGAGTTATTCCATTAGTGTGAACGATCTGGAAGTTCCTTTAATCAAGCAGCTATTACCTGGTATCTCTCTTAATCTGTCATCAAAAGGAATAAAAGGTGTTAAACTGTCCAGCAAAGTGAGAGAAAAGCAGTGCTTGTTCCTCTTGTTAATTATGAAGAGGACTTGGGAGTTGTCTGTTTGACATAGTTTTCCAGCCTTACTGTTTTGGGGGGGTGTAAGTAAACTTTTAAATCTTCCTTCCTTTTGCTTTGCATTCCTTCCAAGATGCTAGTTTATTGATGATAATAATAACAGCACGTGGGGAAGAAGTGAGAAGAAGGTGCAGAGTTTGTAGTCAGACAAATTAATTTTTTTTTCTTTTTCATTTGCTGTTTTAGTGGTGCACATACTTTGGAAAAAGGATCTTTGTGGTTTTGGTTCTTTGTGGGGGATTTGTCATGGTTTCGATTTTTGTGGGGGTTTTAATTTTGTTTTTAATAATATATAAATATTAATCCAGCTTCCAGTGCCGTAATTCCTGGGAAAGTTGGAATGCACACTGATGATTTCCTCCAGTCATAGCTCTTAGACTTTTAGAAAGCTTCTTTAGGATTTACTATGTCTTTTCTTAATATAAAGGTTTGAACAGTCCCTTTAAATGCTTCAGTAGTTTTCAGTTAATTTTCCAGTTTTGGTCATTCCTTGGCCAAGCTAATGAATGCACTGACTCATTGCCAGTAGAGTCACACTCCTTTTCGAGAGCCAACAATATTTTGCAAGAACATTAGCTAGTGATATACTATGCATAAGACTCAGGTTGCATTATATTACCTCTTTGCAATTAAGATTATTCATAATTAACTGTAAACAATACAAGAGGTGGTTTTGATGCACTAGACAACACAGCTTAAGAGGCAAAAAATCACTGACTTGTAAAACAGTTCAATTTTTTTCATGACTCTTGTTTTTTTTTCTTACAGCTGATTACAAGGAGAGTTTTAATACCATTGGGAATATTGAAGAAATTGCATTCAATGCTGTGTCCTTTACTTGGGATGTCAATGAGGAGGCAAAGGTGAGGAAAAGCCATGCAGACGGCATCCCTTTATAAGCACCATCCATCGTTAGGCACCGTTCCACTTCTCTCCTTTCTGACCAATAAGAGGGCTTGTTGGTAGGTGCCCAGCCTGAGAAACAGTGAAAGATTATTTTCGTATTTGCAAAGCCAGGTGTAAGACACAAGCTGAGTCTTTTCTTTCTCCAAGTTGTCAAGTTTCATTCTGCACTCTAAGCATCTCCCATAATCCATATTCTGTAAGTTAGACTATGCCTTCCCTTGTGTTGGTGCCATTATTTTTTTTTTTATATTGTTACACAGACCATTTTGCAATTTGGAATTAATGTATTTTTGAGGACTGAGCCTTTTTTTTAACTTTTTTTTTTTTTAATGGTCGAGTACCCTCAGGCATGGGGTTTTCCTTCAGGAATGTGACTCTTAAGTAGACCTATAAACCAGGACAGCAGAACACCTTAACTAGTTTCTTACAGATAAGGTTGTACAAAGGCTGTCAGAGTGCTTCAACTGCATGGACTAGTGTGGGAGAAATGAAAAACTGCCGGTAATTATAAGAAGAAGTTGGCCCCCGGAAAGCAAACAAGGGAAATAGGCTGTGTAAAATGAGTGGGGGTAATGCAGTACTCTTGGGGATGTAGAGTTAATAAACAGCAAACACTGAGCTCAGCAAACTCCTGATACTGTTTTCATGTTGAACACAAAATGTCCAGTTTTTAAGTAGAGCTGTGATTCTTTCAAATACAAAGACCTCTTCATGCACAATTGCCCGCTGCATTTCCAGCATTAGAGAGGCTGCATCCTCAGAGTGAGTCCTCTGAGAACTTGTATTGAACACGGAGTGGTAGCAATAACACTGACTGTCCTGACTGGAGGTGCTGTTTATAGTAACAGGGATTTTAATCTCTGATGCGCATCTTAAAAGAAAAGACAATAGTTCTGAAAATCACACAGCTCTTTTAAAAGCAGGCCTTGATAAACAGAGTTGTACTTGTCCCAGTTGCTAATGGTGCTGTATTTACTCATGCAGTGATTACATTTTCACCGCCCCAGATATTTCCCTATTATGTGTTTCCATTTCAAAAATACAGCAGTAGGTTGTCCTCTGTAGTCACAACAGGCGACTGTTGTGTGTGCGTGATCACTGCAAGCAAATACCATTTTGGGATCTCCAACACAGCAGTCTTCTTCGAGGACCTTTACAGAAGCACTACCAGGGCTAGAACGTGGCAGTCTTGTTCCAGGGCTGGCAGTTCTCTAAGACATTTGCATTTGCAGCCCCAAGCCAGACTCAGCAAGGCACCCGTGTTGATTTAGGAACAAGGAAGTCACATCCATTAATGTCAAGTATTAACCATGGACGTTTTTTTCTAATCTCACACCATTCACCTGGCTCTTGCCTTGGGTGCCAGAACATTATGAACACAACTTTTGCAATGATCACTGGAAACAAAACAAGCTAAAATTTTAAAATAAAGACTCCTTCTGGATTAAAAAAGTGCTAGGAGTGAGATTTAAGCTGCTTGTATTTCTGCAGGAAATAGTGATTAAAATGCAAATTGGCTTATGCATATTTATTTTGGGGTATTAAATATCTGATCTTTTAGGAGCTTGAACTGTAAATATATTGATAAAAGAGGATTCATAAAGTGCTTTAGTGTTTGGCTATCAGGTATAAATCAGATTGTACGTGAAAGCTTATCACCTTGTCTGCACTACAGTGTTTCCCTCCCCACACACAAGTATGTGTACATGCTTGCTCCTGTTGGAAAGTGTTACAATAACTGGTTGCACTGGGTCTGGGGATTCCCATAGGATGGCCCTGAGGTGTTGGAAAGCTGTGGGTTCTGAGGCACGTCACTGAAGGCTGTTTTTTCTCCAGCAATTACCTCATCCTTGGAAGATGAAGAATTTCAAGGCATAATTACAGACTCCCTTTTCCTAAGCTTTTTGAATGATGATCTTTCAACTGCCTCCATTGTTTCGGTTCAGTATTATTTTCCATTTTCACCACAATTTCAAGATTAAAACTTAACCCCTTCAGAGGCACAAAAGCCTTTTTTTTCCCCAAGTCAGACTATCACACAACAGTTCTTTTCAGGGCCTCTGAGTTGGGATGTGATGAAGCACTCTACTGGCCCTGGAAGAAGCAAAGAAAAACTTCTTGTTGGAAGTATACTGGGGAGTGATGTGGGAAATGAAACAGAAGTAGTAGAAATCACCTAACCAAATCTGCCTCTCCCTGCTGTGAAACTAAATCCCACATTTAGAAGATCTATCTTGAGCATCAGTTTTCTCACTTTCCTACTCCACCTGGATGGCAGCTAATTTAAAGCCATATTTCTTCTCATTTGAAGTCAGACTTTTCCTCTCTCACACAGACAGAGCAGGCCTTCCCCTCGCAGCCCTTCAGGAAGAAGGTGTAAGAGAATGGGTGTGGCAGTCAGAATCTGCCAGCTACCAGAAAGGCTGCTGAGGGCTGCTAAGGCAGCATCTCGTGTTGGGTCTTAGTGGAATAAACAGGAATCCAGAGGGTACAGGCAGAGGCCTCTCTGTGTTCTCCCAGTAATGTCAATGGAACTGGGCTGTTGGCTCCTATTCACCCCATGCTTGGTGCCTCATCTTCCAACTGCTGCTTGGCAGAACAAGTCAGTGGAAACAGAATCTTGTACAGTGCATGTCAAGAGGTGGAATAATCACACTATTGCTTTCTGTGAACTAAGGAAACAGCACCAAAGTCAGAAACACCACTCTGCTAGTGTTCTCTCTGCTGTGCCTGGTTGACAGCAGCAGTTCCCTTGCCTTCTGGCAGAGGAAAGTTAGTCCTGGCATATCCTTACCCTTTCCTAGAACAGCATCCTTTTCTGCTGGGACTGTTTTCTAGAGGTCACTGTGGGGCTTGTGGTTCAGAGCAGGATCCAGGGAAATGAGGGGAAGGCTCCATAGCTATGTCAAACTCAGTGCTTTCTTAAGACAAAAATATTGCTATAAAGGAGCAGGGGGGTAGGAAGAGAAGAACGGTTTTGTACAATCCCTCTTTTTTCCCCTCCCATATTTAATTCTATTATATACATGTAACATTTATGGGTAAGGTGATTATTTGTCTCCCTTTGGTTGAACACAAATGCTGTGTTTGGTACTTTTAAAGGAGTTCTTTTTTAAAGATTATGAAACAAACAACAATTAACAACAACTGGCTGACTTTTTAACTGTCTTTTAGAAGTGTCTTTATAATATGCTAGAAGATATGTAGTTGCCTTGCTGCTGCCCTATAGAAGATTTTGCTGCAGCATCTGGTGAGTGGACAAAGTTCTAGTGGAGGCTCTTGAACAGACTCAGCTTCATTTCTGATAGACATTCATCTGTCTGCTCGCAGTGTTAGCACTGGCAGAAGTTAGTTTGCAAGAAAGATAGTTAAAGAGACAGAATTCTCTTGGACAATGAATAATATATTTGTCATAAGCCATACTACCTCCTTGAGATATGACTTCTCTCTGGTAGGCACTTGGCGTATTTAAATTGGCTATGATGGTGTTACTTCTGAAACAATTGTATATTTTTATGGAAAGTATTTTTTAGCCTTAAAATCAAGGATATTACTTCAATGAGCAGCTGCTAACAAAAAATGTCACTTTAAAGAGACAAACAGTTTTCTGTGATATCAAGAGATTGCAGATTTCTGCTAAGCACTGCTACTTGGACATGCAATAAACAGACATGTTTGTGGCTGTGTTATTCAGGCAGGTGCTGGCAGATGAGTGAGATGATTTCAGTGAGTGCAGGAGTTGTGTGCTGAACAGTTGTTGTGTATACTTGCGTGCAATAACTGCCCTGCTATATTTAACTGAAATGTAGATCTTTAATCCAAAGTATGCTGAAGCCTCTGGGAACCTTTCCAGTTATTTAATGAGTTTTGGCATGGCTCATACAGTAATAAGCTGTTTTCAAAGAGTGACTGATTTGCAGGATTAGGTTCTTGGATATTGTGGGCCAAAGTGAGCTCCAATTCCAGTGGGTACAATAGTAAAGTCAAGTTTATAGAGCAGCACTATCTCTAGCAGTAATTTGTATTGTGGCAATCCATATTTCTTAAACATTGTTAGTGATACTTAGGAAGGCTTTGACTAGTATAAGATTTTTTTTTTCTTAATCGTGAATTTCCTTCTCAAGTTACATCAAATTTAATTTAATTAGGAAGGAAATTAACATCTTCTCTACTCTAAAAATGTAAAGGTTGAAGGAAAAGATGCTTCTTTTTGGGGAGTTAGTAGCAGAAATTATGTAGGATTAGACTTGGCAGCTACTTTAATAGACCATGTCTGTGTGTGCAAGTGTGCATATATATATATATATATATATATATGAGTGTATATATAGATGTGAGACATGCACACACACGTGTATATATTAGAGAAGAGTTAACCTGTGGTAGCACATAATGTTGAAATTCAGTGTATACAAATGGCTTGGTAAGTATGCATCTGGGATTCAAAGCAAATGGCATTTTTATGTAGTTGCCGGGGTGTGGTGTGGGTTGAGGAAGCTTCAAAAGAGTAGTGTAAACATTTGCTGGAGACATTTGTATTGAAATAAAACAAAGGTCTTACCTTTGTGTGGGATTTATAAGGTAACGGCTGGTAGGAGAAACTATAAACCCACACTTTCTGTGTATATGAGGAATGATAGGATTGATGTTAGTCATTTGAGAGACAAGTCAGTTAACTCTTTGTTGTTAGGGTCTGGAGGGAGGAACCTTTTAAAGCAGACTTTTAAGAGACCCGTCACCAGGGTTCTATGTATTGCCAGTATTCAGTAGAGAAATTGCTTTAAGTTTCTTATTTTGTGCCTCTCTTCTGCCCTTGGCAGTTTCTGAGACAATGGGAGCCAGAAATGTAAATAGTAATAAAAGGCTAATATTAGAAGTTTCTAGCTGCAGACCTTTAGTGTATAAGCTGTGAGACCACAGCAAGAGTCATGTTAGCTGAATTAAATGATAAAAAGGGAAATGCACTTCTGAGCCTTGCTTTCCCCTAGGGCAGCTTACTGTGTTTGTGTCTTGTACATCCCTAATTATGCTGCAGTATTTAACAAACAGTAGTTCTCGTAACAGCAGCTACACCGTGGAGGAGTAGTCCCCAAAAGATAGAGTGCTTTTTCTAGACGTGCTCTATAACAAATAGAAGAGCTGTCTTTATCTTGGGTCACTTGTGAAACTTTCTCAGCACCAAATGTTTCTCTAAATTAGTATTTAATTGCCAATGGCATGCCTGAGCTGGAGACTAGATGGGTGGAACTCTGCCATTAATTGCTTTAATCTAAGATATGCTGACATTAAAGAAAAAAAAAAGACATCACTATAATGACAATTATACAATGTGTTCCAGATAGCAAAACATTGCTAAAATCCAGTTTGCACAGGGAAAAAAAAAAAAAAAAAGTTGTATCTGAATTTGGGTACAATCATACTAACTTTTATTAATACAGTACAAAGACAAGTGTAGACAGGGCTTGGGAGGGAGACAGTGATTTCTCTTCCTGCTGCTGTAATTTCTACTTAACTCTACACTTTCTAACCATGTTAATTCTATTATGCAAAATACCAGAGCAAAGGAGATCTTAAATCTGGGTATCTTCTAAGAAAAGTAGAATAGCGCTCCATTTTGTGGCTGCCCATGGAGTTGTTTTGCCCCTTGTCTCATCAAGAGTGGGAGTACATGAATTATGAACAGGAGCTGGAAAGAGAGGGAAGGTGAGAGTTGCAAAGGGCAAAGCAGGATGTGTTTGGACAAATGGCTGAAATCAGTGCTGCTCAGAGCAGATCACTGCTTTAGAGAGGTAGTTTCTGGGCAGACCAGGGGAGAGAGAAGGGAACTGTCCAGATGTTTCTTCAGGTCCTCTTCACCATAGCAGCCTGCTGCACTGGTGCAAATCTTTAATCATACAAAGAAGAAAAACCCTAAAATAAATAACAGAACCTGTGCCCTCTTCCCCCTCTTCCCTTTCCCTCTGTACACCCCTTTGTTTTCCAAATCCAAAGTCGGTGTGTTGCTTTACAGGAAAGCTAACAGAAAATTGCATGGAGACAGAAAATTTCCCCGGTGTCAATGATCTGTGTTAATTTGAATCCATGTGTCTGTCTGTGAGGTGCAAATGATATGACAGAAAGTGTAGTACACGTCATGTGCATGAATGTACAGTCATTGCTCCTCAGAGAGAGCCTGATGTATTACAGTGTCAGGACAAGATATTGAGTCTTGCAGCATCTATCTATTATTCATGCTGAATAATCTGTTATTGCTGTATGGGGACTCTTGAAACCATGAAGTCTGTCTTCCCCAGCCGTTCCTACTCTGCTCTGTGATTGTGGAGTCAGTGAAAGAAACGATGCAGTGTGTGTAGTTGATTAAGGTGGGACAAAATCTTTTTTGCTTCTCAGCTGAGTGTTCAGGAAGGGTGGAAGAAGTACAAACTGCTAGGTAGATGCAAAGCCTGCATGTCTTCTCATATTTGAATGTACGTTTTAGAAAATTCCCTGTGTAGAAGTATGGGCTAAAATATAGAGAGACCAGATTCTGTTTTATGCTGGACTTCGTTCCACTACTGTGTGTTCACACACTTTAAACCATTGCCCTGACACTATAAATGATTCTGAAGGCAAATGAAAATTCAGGCTGTCATTTTTCAAAGGTGCATTTGCTGTGTCTACACTTATCTTTGGAGCTGGAGGAGATCAACTTGTAATTTGAAACAGAAATAACACTATCAGCTTCAAAATCAGAGTTTCACCTAGGGCCTTTCCCTGCCTCCCTCTTCTCTCCACAGTTAAAGTTCAACTATTTCATTTGTAAATGCAGCTCTGTGATACAATCAGAAGCAGAGAGGAGGGGCCATTAGCTCAGTCAGGCAAACAAGCTGCTCTGGCTCCATCATAAAGACCCTGACTGTAATGTTAACTTCTGCCAGGAGGGTAAAGTATCCCCCACCAGCCCTGCTGGAGCCCTTCTTTATTTTCAGCTGTCTTTCTTACGGATGTTGCATTCTTAGGGATGTTGCATTCTGGTTGCTCACACTGTTGGTTTATTTTCCCTGTTTGTGGAATGGAGGGGAAGGAGGGGGGATGTTCTTCATGCTCTTCCTTCAGGAATACTCCCAGACCCTGGGGGCCTGCTGCCCTCCCCTCTGCCCAGTGAGGTGTGCATCAGGTGTGTTTGAGAGACCAGTTTGAGATCTCTTCTTTCCTGAGTGTCCTTATTCTTCTGGAGCAGGTTTCACATCCTCCTGGTTCAGGAGTATGTACTGCTAGTGTTCTCAATCCTTTTCCTTGGTTCACACTTTTGGGGTTTTGTTTTGTTTTGGTGTTTTGTTGTTGCTTTTTAAACTAAGGGCAAGTGAAAAGTAGAATCAGGTTGATAGACAATTGCCCCAAGTTATTATGTAATGCACATATTCCTCATTGGGCTGCAAATTAGATTTTTAGTCTAGTTTATTCTCTTGAGTTTTATGAATGCCATCCTCACTGAAAGCTGTTGGTGGTATTTCAGTTCATAATGTTTGCTTTACATCAGAATAGTCCTTGGAAGACTTTTTTGGTGGGAGACCCTCCTCCCAGGTCCTGTACAGATCACACACACCTTGTCCCATGGTGCCAATTGAGTTAATGAGAGGGAGATGATTAGTGGCTATCAGGTTGTAAGTTTGTGTTGTAGAAGGAGAGCAAGGGATGGATTTCTGAAGCAGGCAAGCAGGGGACTTGCTAACTCAGTAGGTTAATGCCGAAGTTGTGGGTTCCATTCCTGGATGGGCCACTAAGAGCTGGGCTCGATGATGCTTCTGAGTCCCTTCCAGCTCAGACGACTCTGTGACTCTCTGAATGCAGTCAGGTTATGTGGATGCTGTGTAACAAACAGAACTTCTGAGAAGAGGAAGGGAGTAGTTTTTTAATATTTGAAAAATTCCTTCCCAGTTTGAAAGACAGGCTAAGATGCATCTTTAAAACTGAGGAAAGACGGTGAAGGGCCCTTAAAGTGAAACACAGGAGTATCTATTGATGGGATGGAGAAAGCAGTAGTGTCGATGAGAGTGTGAAGAAAATGTTTAAAATAGAAGAAAAGGAGTACAGTTTATCTTTGTCCCACTGAATTTGAATGAGCTGTCAGATGAACAGGCCATACCTAAGGCAGCTGGAAAGGGTGAAGCATGATGATCTGTATCAACAAATAGTGCAAACATGCAGAACAGGGTTGTAGAGTGGAACAAGTAAGGGCTAAAGACCTGACATCCACATAAGGCACGTTTTAGGAGGTTTTATCTCAGATTGTCTGTAGTTAGTTCCCATGAATTAAGCAACTGTGAGCAGCTGGAGGATCTGAGTACTCCTGGAATATATCTTTCATGGTCTGACTCTTCCAAAAAGAATCCAGTTCGTGTATTCTGAGCTCTGGTGTGAACTAAAGTAGGATAAGTTGGGAGAACCAAATGATTCACGTCAAATGTGAGCTTCTGATCCAACCTGAAACACCAATATATGGCTTTCAAGTTTGTTCTTCTCAGGGTGGAGTGTCTTTGCTGGACAGAAGTGGAGAATAAATGTGTGAATTGCCAGAGTGTGCATCATAGCTGAATTAAAACCTTTCTATTTTATTTTCCCATTTCTTGTCATGTATTTCTGGAAGTTTAGTTTTTTGCACCACATTTTAAAAAGTAATCTCTCTGGCACACAGATTTTCATCACAGTGAATTGCTTGAGCACAGACTTCTCCTCACAAAAAGGAGTAAAAGGGCTTCCTTTGATGATTCAGATCGATACTTACAGCTACAACAACCGCAGCAATAAACCTATCCACCGAGCCTACTGCCAGATCAAGGTTTTTTGTGACAAGGTAAGTGCAAAGCAACAGTTACCATGGATGAAGGAGGAATCTTGTTAGACAGTTTATTGTTGCTGTATTTTAGACCTAATTAAATGCTGGTTCTTTTCTTAAAGAATTGTATTTCATCATAGCATTTGGTCCGTGTGGTATCACAAATCAAACTGATTATAATGTAATTATTTTACTGCTTTGCAGTCTTTTTGGCCCTGATTCCTCAGCTTGTAAGCAATAGTTGGACTGTTTAAGGACAGCATGTTATAGGTCATGATTATGGAATGTCAAAAAAATAATAGAAAGTGCAAATGCTAATATATCTCTGTTTGGAGGGTCAGTGCTGATCACAGGCTCACTCACATAAGTGGCAGTCTGCTGATGTCATCCCTTCTAACTGACAGCCAGGATAGATAGCAGGTAAACTTCATGTCAGTTTCTCTGACAGAAAAAAATGCACTTTTCAGTGAGAATCTGCTAGGCTCCCTTTTATGATGCAGTGAAAACCAGCAAATTCCAGTGACACAGCTGATGTCCTTAGCCATTCCCTGATGGCTAAGGACCCTGATGTTCCTTAGCCATTCCCATTTTGTAATTCAGTAACTATTTTTTGTGTGTGTTCACACCCTCCTTAGCAAAATTTTGGGTTTTTGCTGTAGGTATGACTGCTCCTCTGTGGAGACTAGTAAGATGTTTCAGTGCCCAGACATAGGTCATGCCTGAATGAATTAGACAGTGTCATGGTCAGCAGTGTATATCACCAGGCAGAAACAGCTGCTCAGAAATGTCAGTGATGATTCTTCATAGAGAGTGCAACCACTTTTCAGCTGTGTTTAGCATCTGCCAGCTGATTACTTTCTCCATGCTGAGAAATATCTTTCATAGGGGAGCTGATGCCTGGATTCTAGTCAAGGTTCTGGGATTCAGGAGCCTACATCTATTTAAGTGACTTGGAAATTTATCCAAATTAGTCTTGCCATCCTACAAGTGGGAATAGAAAGACAAAAGGCCATGCCCCAGGCAAAACATAACATTAACTTTTTAATGGAAAGGGTAAGAGTTCAACTGTTTCAGGTCTCTATGTTGCTGCTCCTTCCCCCTTTTCAGTTCATTCCCTTGTTGCTGTTTTGACAACGACATCTTGAGGGCTAATCAGTCAGTTGTGTTAGTGGAGGAAAATCTTTGGAAGTAATGAATGTAAATGTATGCACTAACGTCTTCTTACAGCCAAAATGCTATGCTTTTAATTGTAACTTTGAATGTCAGATATTGAGAGATTTGAAGCTACAGCTGGATCTTAAAAGCTCAGTAAATATCAAAGTAACAAGTAGTTTTCATCTACCTGTTTCTGAAGAGCAATTAGAAAAATTTGAATTATTTTAAAAAAAGGAAGGCAATTCAGAGCACAAACTCATCAAGGGTGACCTCTAGATACAGCTGGTGGAGAATTTGAATAATACATGTTCATTGCATCTGTTGGCTTAATTGGAGCTTCAAATAGCCAGACCGAAAAGCAGGAAATGAATGTTGAGTCTATTAATCAAAACTGTCTCAAAGTAGAAGGAAAGATCACAGGGGTAGTTAAAGTGTTATACACATCAAAAATGTATTGGAAATGGGAACTGAAGGGCTCAAGGGTATTGATAATAGGCTATATGTGTGTTTAATATAAATGTATACACACATGTGGAGCTTTTTAAGTTAATGTGGGTGTGAAAGTGACTTGAGCAAATGAAAATTATCGAGGTCAATGCACATGACAGTTTGTGCTAATTGGCACTTGGTAAGAGACAAATTCTTGCTTCTCCCCAAACTTATGATGTCAGATCTTTACCAACATCCCTTTGTCACAGGGCTTTTGGAAGTAAATAAATATTTGGAGAATTTCCCCTTGCTGGTGGCACTGGGAAAATTCATTGTGCTCAGAGGAAGGTAGCTGGTGTGGCTGGGTATCCTCATCTTTCCAAGGTGTCAAAATAAACCCCTGGCTCTGGTTAAGGTGGTGCTAAATGGTTCAGTTTCTCTTGCTAGCCTGTGGCTCTCCCCCCAGTGACATGGACAAAGCTTGCTGCCTCCTTGGGAAAGGCCATGAAGCTGAGACTTATTTATTGCCCACCTCCTTGTCATGATGAATTGAAGAGGTACTATAGGAACATAAAAAAACCACCCAGCAGTCATGTAATGATCTTTATATATTCTGAAAGTGTGAACTGCACTGTTATGCCCAGTCTGACAGCCTCAAAGAGAAGCTGATGACAAAAGTACCTGATTTATTACAATCACCTGGCCTAGTGGAACTGCACAGTAAATTCCTTCTCCCTAAGTATGAAATGTTTCTCATTCTGGTACATGGAAGAAAAAATGTTTCTGTGCCTGAGGTGTTATTAAAAATGTTTCTTTCTGTAGTGGTGGTGCCTCTTTAGGACCAGTGAGTGTATTTGTATATTCACTTGGATAAATCACAGGTGGAGGTGTCCAGTTTTTAAGAACATTCACTGACAAATTAATGTCTTGTAGCTGCAACACAGCATAGCTGTTGTGGAAAGAGATATCTTTAAAGAAATAAAACTGCATTTAGTAAGTGGTACATATTATGTATATATCAGTATTTATTCTGGCAATTCCTTGATTTTAATATTAGTTTACATATAAGCTAGAGAGCAACACCAACTCATCCAGTATGTGCTTTGTGACATAAATGTATGGAGATAAATGCTGCAAAGGCTGTAAATGTTACTTAACAAATCTAACTTTACCATACTCCTTATTTGAGTCTATACTCCCTATTTGTCATCCAATCTTTTGTCCATGTTTGTTTTTCAGTAAGCAATCTTCAAAGCATTTGTTACAGTCCACATCTTGTTTTGTCAGTGGTAATTCTCTGCCTTGCAGTCATCAGTGCAGATCACTGATGCTGCATTATAAGAATATCTAATTTTTATCCCTTAAGTAGGTTGTCAGGGAAACTTGCTACCAGGCCTATTTATATTTATATATTGCACAGTGCTTTAGCCACTGTGTATGAAAGAACTGGGACTTCAGAGCTACTTGATTTTCTATATGTGATTATCTTTGCTGAAAAGAAACAGAACTTGACTTGGCAAATACCATAACATTGATCCAAAATAAAATGAATTCATCCAAATTTGTTTAACATTAAAAAATACATGTTTTTTGAAATATGTGCAGTTGTCACATCCTTGTTTTTGGTGTGGAACATCACAGAGAAAATGGACTATCATAGAGTATTAAGCAACTCTATTTGCCTATTAATCTTCAGCTTTGGAGAGAGCTTCTAGTTCCAGGCTGAAGCATTCCACATCTCATTGGGCAGGCACATTTACATCAGCCTATGTCTGTGTGCCTGCCCAACGAGATTTGGAACGCTTTAGCCTGGAACTAGAAGCAAGAGTACACATGAGCATCAGAGTGGTGCAAGACTTACGTTTAAATGAGTTGAAGGATTAGGAAGAAAATACTTTGAATCACCTGAAATTTGAAGGCTGCATTTTGTTAATGATTAATAGCAGAAGTACTCCTTGCATTTATACAAAGCCCAGATATCAATGAAAAAATTAAGAACTCCTTTCATTATTTCACTGGTCACAGCATAGTTTAGAGTCCCCAGTAGGAGGGTAATTTCTTCTGTCCTGAAGAGATGTGCAAACTGTGGTTTATTAGGTATGTGTCACATGGCTCAGCTGTCAAAACTATGCAGCAGAAATGCTCTAATATGCAAAAATAATTTTGTGGTCTCATCCTATAGGCTTGACTGGCCCCTGCCGTGTGCCATGTGGGCTGCTCCAAGCTCAAAGGGCTAGTAGGTAATTTTGTGGGTATTGCAGGTGCCACTTTGTGAAGTGGCTGTGGCACAAATAAACACTGGTGGATGGGAATGACTGCCCAGCTCAGGGATTGCCTGCACCCCAGAGATCTTGCGGTGTGTTGCCTTGAATGAATGAAGAGAAAGCTGTGAAAGTGTCACCAAGTTCATGGTTACAAGGAATATTACAGAAAATCAGTAAAACATGTATTTTTTATTATGCATAAAAGGCTGAATCCTCCTCAGTTTCTGCTTTCCTGAGAGGAAGCTCACTCTTGCTGCTGTGTATGAAATACTTTGGTGGTTCATCCCATTCCTTGTGAGCAGCAGAGTGGCAGCACTGAGTGGTAGGCAGGGCTGTGGTCACCTGGCAGAGCCCTTTGTGCAGCACAGGTTTCTCAGGATGTGCTTTTTGTGGAACAGTGGCTAGGATGTGTATTTTTGCTCCTTTCTTAGAAAGAACAGGTGGCTTTAAAGGCCACTTAAAATTTTGGTGAGTGCACAACTCTGAATCTCTTGGCTTCTGTGGTTGAGGTTGGTGAGTGACAGCTCGACTGGGATCTGATTTGGAGGCAGTGTTTCTGTTTGACACATTCATGTTTTCCTAAAGAGCTATTTCTTCCTCCAGCTCTTTCAGCCTCTGGAAATCTACTGATAGATCACAGCCAGGAGTACATCTTTCCTTGCACTCTTTCTAAACTTGGTTCATTGACTCATGTGTGAATTTTGCCATCTTGAGTGGGTGTTTTTTTGCTTTTCTTACCTCCCTCCTCTCCCCTTCTATTCAAGAAACTTCTAATTTTAATTTGGAAAAAAAATCTGTAATCTTGCATGCCAACTGTCTGAGAGCATATGGATCTTCATTACCCTTCACAATGTGATTGGTATTATTTTTAAAGTAAATTAGGAGAACTTCAGAGGAGGTGTTGCTGCTTTTTATGTCAATAACAAGTTTTATTTTTTAAACTTGTTGAGAGTGTATTTACATAACAGAAGCCTGCAACTTCCCAGGAGTTCCTGGTGCCTAATAGGGCAGTGCTACATTGCTTTCCTATTTCTGGAGAGCTTCTCCCAGTTTGAAATGCCTGTATTTTTCTGTAAGAACCCTTGCAATGTTGGCAAGCTGTCAGCACAGCCTTTTTGGGCTGTCAGTTCTCAAAGGCTCTGCACAGCTGGCTACAGTGCAGCAATGCTACCCCCAGACAAAGTGGGTGGAGGAGAGTTTAGGGAAGACCTCAGCACAGACATTATGTAAAATGATAGCAATCCTGCAGGTGTTTTATGTTTTATTTATTACATACACAAAATATTTGGCCTGAGCACTCTGTCCATTGCACAGACACTGGGCTTGGAATGCCCTTTGCACAAGCTGTGCTGGCATCAGTCCTGCTACGGACTGCATACTGCCTGTCCTGGCTCCTCCAAACCAACATGTGGATTTGCTCTCCTTGCTGTCTGCAGTCCTGGGAGCTACTGGATGTGCCAGCTGAGTCTCAGGCACAGGTGATCCTGCAAAGCCTGGTACCCTTCCCAACAGACTGGACAGAACTGTCTTCAATGAAATGACCAGTTTCTCTTTCAGCATTTCTGTGTGTCTGATGCTGTAGTTCCAGGCATTGCAGAGTACAGTGCTCATGGTGGTTCCTCTTTGGATAATACCTGTGGATTGTCTTTTTTGTATCAGGGAGCAGAAAGGAAAATCCGAGATGAAGAGAGAAAGCAGAACAGGAAGAAAGGCAAAGGCCAGGCATCCCAAACCTCGTGTAATAATGGTGAGTGAAGTGGGCCTTTCTGCTCTGGGGCTAAATCAGGCTTAACATGTCTTCTTTCACAACCCTGTGCTTTGTGATCCACCTAGCAGCTGAAGGGAAGTTGAGTGCACTCCCTCTGCAGAAAAAGAGTGATATCACCTTCTTCAAAACAATGGCTGACCTGGATTCCCAGCCTGTTCTCTTCATACCGGATGTTCACTTCGGAAACCTACAAAGAACTGGACAGGTAGGAAATGATGAGATGAGCAGGTGCCCACTTGCCACCTGGCTGCCTCTGCTCTGGGGCAGGTTTTAGGGAGATAAATAACTGTTCCTGGGGGCCACTTGTTTCAGCTCTCATTTTGGTAAATGCAGTTTTTGCACATCACTTATAGAGGACCTTACAAGAGACAAGTACCTTTCTGAGTTCTGGGTTCGAAGGAGTTTATACTTCTTTGACAACTGACTAGTTTGGTTTTGTTACAGTTCTGTCATTCTTTTGCTTTCAAGTATAAGGCTGATTTGTGACTGAAACACAATCTGGTTTTGAGTGCACTCTTTGGCTTGGTGAAATGAAGTGCCACCTTGTGGTAGCAGAGATCCCCCTCCCTGTCAGAGCTGAAAACAAAGACCAAGCTCTTATCCGTGTAGAAAGATCAAGAGTAGGGTCACTAAACACCACTACCCATTTTCTGTCGGCATCACCTAGAGATGTAGAAATTTCTTGAAAAAAATATTTTCACTCTTCCAAGTAAAACTCCATCATACTAATGTTAATACTCAGTATTGGCAGTTATTATCATTAGTAAACATGAGGAAGTCTTTCCTGACTTAGCTCTTTTCTAGTTTATCACCTGCTGGGTGAAAACCTGAACTGGAGGGTCAGCTCTGACAACTTTGTTACTATGAACATGTTATTAACATCTCAGGGAGTAGAATGAAACATTTATGCATATGTTTATAAAGACAAATAGTTGATGAGGAAATTTAATATGCATCTTGCTGGAAAATACTAAAATGACAAAGATTAAATGAAACTGAGTGTTGGAATTGTCAATTATTTTGAAGCAGTGAGAATTGTGGTTGAGCAAAGCACAAAGAGCACGGACGTTGTAATCACAGCTGTCACGGGCTTACTCTCCCAAACTGGAAAGCCACCCACTCACATATCAGTGCTGGGTACCTTCTGTCCTCATGGCTTTCAAACCAAAATGTGGATTTGTTTCAAAACAGGAGGTGGTGGAAACATTCCTTAGTATATATAATCCTGTAAATAATTTTCTAAACTGACTGGAAGATATCCCCTTTTCCTAGCTCTCAGGCAGTGTTCAGCCATGTTTTTTATTGCTGTAACCCATAGTTACAGCCCTCAGCTTTGCACACACACACCTCTGAGCTATTTTCATTGCACAGTTTCAGAAGTGAAGGCTCCCAGTGAGAGCTGAGTGTGCTCTGAGTGTCTTGCCAGCCCCAGTGCTGGAGGCCTGCCTGGGATGCCCTGCCCTGCCCAGCAGGAGCAGCTGCGGTGCCCTGTGCCCCCAGCCTGCGCTTGCACCGCAGCTCAGCAGCTGCAGGGCTGGTGCACTTGTTGGTGCAGACCTGCAGTGTGGGAATGTTGTGAGGAGTTTGGCTGACTGTTCTGTAAAGTGTTGGACAAGAGACTGTGATTTTATACCTCCCCTGCTACTGTCATCTGCATTTGCTGCTGTTGTAAATTCGGTCCTGGTGACTCTGAGCTACGTGGATTTACACAAAACTGGACTTGGGCTTCTGCCCACAGCCTGTGCAACAAATGTTCAGCTGTACCTTTAGTAATTGCATTTCCATTAGGCCTGAAGTTTAATCTTGTTCTTTATAGTTTAATTAGATTTTCAGACAGTATTAAATACATACAAAAGCTTTTGAGTGTTGTGGCTTAAACTGTATTAGGGTTTATTTAGGTGAGTAGCAATCTGGTTTAGAGGATTGTAAAATAATTGGGAAAATGATATAAAGCAGGGAAGAGGGTAATGTCTCTCAAATAAACTTTGATGTATTTCCAGTAGATGGTATTCAACAGCAGTTTCTCTAAGCCATGCTTCTTCCAGATAACAGTTAGAACTAGAGGTGTTTGTGCTTTTTAGGAGGAAAAGTATTTTTAACATATGACAAACTGCAAAACACTTGTTGTCTTTTCTCTCTTTTGAAGTTATTCTGTTAAGCAAGTGCCTGAGTTTTGGGAATAATTGGTTTTTATTTCCATCCTTCTAGGTTTACTATAATACAGATGACGAGAGAGAAGGGTAAGATATTTATTGTTTCACAAGCTTTGCAGTTAACAGTTTAAACTCAAAGAAAGTTGATACAAAATACGAAATCAGATAAAACTGACTCCTTTCTTCCCCTTCCCTCATGTTCTTCCATGTAAACTGCTTGCTTTTTATGTCTGTATTTTAATACATTTCCAAGTAAAAGAGTCCTAAGGTTTTGTACAGGGAGAGGACAATATATTTGACAATGAAGTGCCATCTATGTAGGCATGAGAGTTTTCAAATAATTAAAAAAACTGGAATTTTTTGTTGAAGCACTGAACTTCACTGCATTCCTGAAAGCTCTTTAGCAGTGCATACATGTGCAGGCAACAAATACAGGAACTGCAGAGAGAATGGCCAAGTGCCAGAAGAGAAAGGCAGAAAGAGAAGAGAGAACCTGGGAAGGACAAAGGTTGGAAATGGGAGTACCTCCTATCCCTATCTGACTTTGGAGGGACTGGAAGAACTGATGAAAGTCCCTCTAATACTTAGAGGTGCCATGAAATAAGGGTTTTAATATGGGCTGCTGAACTTCAGCCCACACTGTGTGCCAGTCCCATACTTTTGCAAGTTGCCTGAATCCCCAGGTGAACACCCTGAAGTCTGAGATTCTGGACTAACATAACTACACTCCCATAAATCTGCAAATCTAGTGACCTGTGCCAGGGAGTGGCCAAGCACCTGCAGTCAACACTGATTTGAAAACATGAGGCCCTTTTTATTTATTTTTGAAACTAATGATCTTCATAAGGCTTCCAGTGGAATTTGAGAAACACAGGGGTGTATTGCATCAAGCAATAACCACCCCCCTTCCCTCAATATTTAAACAGTTGAGGGCCTTTGGGGTTTTCAAATTAGTGTGTAACATCGGAACATATTTTCCTGTCACCTGTCCCAGCCAGTCAGTCTCGGCAATTTAAGAGGCCTGGATAGTTCAGATAAGCATCAAAAGCTAAATCCTTGCAGTTTCTGCTTTTGGGGCTACTTGAATAGCTAGTGGGTGTTTTTGCCAGAGTACAAAGTGAGTCATGACTGTTGCTGTTGTCTCCTCTTCTGCTGTGGGCACAGTTTTATTGTGACATGGTCCCTGTTTTGTGTATTCTAGTAGCAGTGTCCTGGTCAAAAGGATGTTCCGGCCTGTGGAGGAAGAGTTTGGTCCTTCCCCTTTGAAACAAATCAAAGAAGAAGGTCTGAAAAGAGGTAACAATCAATTCTTAGCAGTTAAAAATCATTCTGTGGGACTCAAACCCTCAAGCTGGGAAGGGCAGGTGTGGTTTGGACAAAGTCAGTTGTAGAATGCTAGTGCAAATAGGGGTAGATGGGAGAAGAGATCTTTGCATCTGCAGTCTATAAGGAGGCATTTTAACAAATGCTAAAAATTACTTAAAGAAAAAAAAAGGACTGTGCTTTCTCAAGAAGGCATCAGGACACAAGTGTGTAGAAAAAACTAAGAAAGTTTCTTGGCTCTTGGCCAAGCTACAAAGTTTATGAAAGTTCCAGTAACAAATCTGTTTAATTTTTGCTCATCTTTTCTGTTCTATCTGAAATCACAAGCAAATATGCAAGATGCATTGGGTCAAATACAGAGACATTAAACAGGCAAGCTCCTGCTGGCTGCAGACTTAGATTGGGTAGAATAAAATCAGAAATTTCCTACCCCATTAGAAATATAACACGGAGAGACATCTTCCAGCAGATGTAACTGAATTGTTTAAACGTTTGTTTCCCTTATCTGTTTTTGCTGCCCAGGTGGGTATTACTACAGTTGTAGTTGAACTTTATAGAAGTGACTTCCCACAAGCCCACATTTGCAGAGTTTCTCTGTTGGTTAGGGTGGTCTGCTTGAACCAGGGGAACCATAGAAGATTATAGGATGGAGACTGATATCTTCTTGAAATAAATGTGAATATATGATTCTTTTAATTAAATCTTAAATTAATTATGTGAGGTTAGCACTGACCATGGACTTGCATTTGGTTGACTCAAGACCTTGGCCAAATTCACTTTATCAGGGCTCTATCAAGCAGAAGATGACAGCCATGAGTGCTACATAAAGAACTATCATTTCCTACAATTTCTCCTGGGTTTCCCAGCTGGAAGCCTAGGAAGTTGCCTGCAAGGAGGTATTGGTTTGCTTTGATTATTCCTGTCCTTTGCTGCGGTTAGTTGTTTTGATATTATTCAGGACTTGCAAGCATTTCAAGGGTAAGATTAGAAAGAAAAAAAATTTAGCTGGTGGCAAAATTATGTAAAATTATTCAATCCAGGAGAGGCACAAATCAGAGAAACTGGAGGATGCTCTCTTCACATCCCCTTCCTGTTCAGTGTTTCTCTCATCTTGGACTGTGCTGGCTGGAGGCCAAGGCTTTTCCAGTGTGGCCTTTGCCCTGGTGAACTTCCTGCCATCCGGAGCCTTGCATCTGGGATCATGCTGATGGCGTGCAGCTCAGCTGAATCTACCCATTTGATCATGCTGTCTTTGCCAGTGGATTCACTGGGTAGTAAAATGTTTGTTTGGGGTTTTTTCCCCAGCGTTGCTGTATTAGAAGCTTTTTTTTCTCAAGATTTATTTGGTACAGCAGAATCAATAACTACTAGAGAGTAGGTGTAGATGGGGTGTAGGTGTAATGTTTGAGAGGGAGCAGGTCTGATATGTGAAAATATACATTGAAATATACATTAAAAGCAATGTAATCCCAAGGTGTCTTATTGGCAGAGCAGTGCAGGTAAATAGCAGCCAGTGAGGTATCCAAGCTCCACTGAAGAACTGAAGTGGAAGTGTGTGACCTCACCCCTGCCTTCTGGACCTAATTGTAACATTGTCTGGTGGAAGTAAAAATATTAAGAGGCAGCCCTCAAGACAACAGGTCTGAAGGGATTTGCAAGCAATGTTCATATTCTCACTCAGGTAGCTGCCTCTTTTTGAATTATTCTTTCATCTCCATGACCTCTAAGGGAAGTCCAAGTGCCCAACACAGAAATGTGAAGTATGTTAATCTGTACCAAATGTGCATCACAGCTAGTTACTTGGCTAGACTTGGCTTTTTCCTGTTTTGAGTTCTCAGTAAGTTTTAAATTCACTTTCCCTTTCAGATTTCATAGGGATTTTGCCGTTAATTATAAATCCAGCAGCCGAATTACAGATCAGGTGGATTTCCAGTCCTGTAGTTCTCAGTTTCAAGAAAGTAAATTCTTTGTGTAGCTTTTGTCTTTTAGGAAAGTCATGTTAAACTACTCTGAAACATTTTGGATTCATAGCAGTCAGGGGGTTGAGAGTCATCCAAGCGAATTTCTGCCTGGGCAATGACGAAAACTCCAGATGTGAGAAAGGAAAGCTAAATTACAGCTACCAGCCCTTCTTTCCTTGACTAATATGTACCACATCTTTATCCAGACACTACTTGACAGAGACTGTAGTCATTGTTCATAGGGTGCCAGTCACAGCACTGGTAGTGCTCAGGCCTTCCTAATGCCCCAAGTCTTACTGACTCATTGTGTCCTTAGTTTCATTTTTCCTCGTGTATGTTGTTGTTAACAATTCTAAAAGAGGTATCTAACATGGTTCTTCTGCATTCACACATAAACCCTCAATTTGGTGACCTGGCTTCCAGAAGTCTCACTAGTGCAACAACATCCCTTGCCTTGAGCAAAGGCTGTTTGCCCCTCTGCAATTTGGTGTGTTGGGGCTATTTCTTAAGTAACTGAAGACAAATTTATCTCCCCCCATCTTTTGCAATTCTTTTTAACATCTAAAGAATATTAAGGTCTGCAGTAGTTTTCAGTGCTGGCAAGAAGGTTAAGGACTAAGACTAGGGAGTAGATCAGACAAATCTGAATTTATCTTGTAGCTTTCAGGCAAAAATAGCTCATTACCTTGTACAAGATTTCCCCATTGTTCCCCTCCAAATCTTGTAATTTGTACTGTTTAGTGTGAGTCCATCTAGATGCTGTGAATGTGATGACAGTAGGATCAGAGGACATGAGTTGTGTTACATGGTCACAGTCATGCAGTGGCAATGGTGCTGCTGAGCCCAGTGGAGCCTTTGCAGCTCTCTTCCCTCCCCTCCGGCTGTGCCTCCTGCTGTGGCCATCTCTCTGCTGCTCTGCCAGCATGAAGGCTTGTGGGGCTGCATTGTACACGGAGGCAGGGATCTGATCTGTCTGAAGAATAACAACTCAAAAAAAGGGTTGTTTTTTCACTCACATCTGCTGTTTGAGAGAGTTTGTCATCCAGGAAAATTCGTTGAGACGAGCCAGAATAAGAGGGTGTAAGGGCAGGGATGAGACAGGGGCTTCCTAAGGTATCACTGTCACCACAAGTCATTTGTGGAAGAGTGCTCTACTGAATCAAAGCCAGGAGTTTCACACCTGTCAGGGTAAAGAAAAGCCTAACAACCCCCCTTGTGCTTACTAATCCTGTCTCTCTGTGTGTATAATGTTGCCTGGCACACCAAGCACAACAAAGATGTAAAGCTCAGCACCGGGATTGTGTAATGTACCCAAGTTTAACTTTGGGCCAAGTGATTATTTTTTTTTTTCTCCTTTCAGATATATTTGTCACTCTTAAGGCTGGTAGAGCTCCAGATGTTTGTAAAGCCAGGAGTTACAGGACAACCCTCTAGTCACAAGGAAAATGTTTACTAAGTTAATATAAGTGTTAGTACTGGTAAAATTAGTCCATTGAGTGAGAGCTTGTTCATGCAACTAAACATATCAGGCATGGTAAAATTTAACTCCACTGGTGTGGAAATTTTTAAAATTTTTTGTATTGACAGTTTAAGTTGTGACCCAAAGTTGTCTCTGCTTCTAACTCCATTAAAAAGATGTTCTCAGGCCAGGCCCCAAAGAGTTGCTAAAATATAGGTGAAAAGGATGTGGCTGTGCATGCTGTGGTTGCAGTTTCGTGGCTCATATTTTTGAATTGAAGATGCAAAAAATCCAACATTGTCCTGCATGTTTGGTTTTTAGACCAAGTGAGGGAACTGAACTACCCATTACTTTTTTCCAGTAATTTCAAAACTTGGGCAAAGAAGCTACAATTCTCCACAAGTGGGCCCGAGTGGGGTATTTCATCCTGCTAGAGTCTTGGCCTGAGAATTAACTTCTACACAATTACTTCTATATGAAAAATACCATCATATTTTTTGGTTCATCTGCTCGTCATCTATTGAGTTACGTGGTGAAGATATCTCTTGGACCATGAGAATTTGTAGTTTCAAAAGATGCCATTTTCTATCTACCCAAAAAAAAAAAAAGGGTTACCAGTGTAATTTGTCCACAGACATGACAGTGCATGTGTGTTTTTATTTCATGTGCAGCAGTGCTATTTGAAAAGTCAGTTCATTCAGGAAACAAAATATATTGCAGAACGTCTTATTCAACCTGTTACTTATCAGTCGTGTGAGATGATGTCTAAAATACTTTCCTAGTGTCTATGCTTATATGCTTTGCACCTGTCTGCTTTGCTTCTGCCATGTTATAGCAAGGTTCCTCCATTTACCTGTACAAGTGTGAAGAAAACAAAAGCTAAAGAGGGCAGGGCACTGTGCCTGTGGACAGCTAGCAGCTAACATCGGAGGGAGGAAGAGGAACAGAAATGGCATTTGGGTACCTAAGCAAGTGGGCACACTGGTAAATGCCTGCCTGCCAGCTCCTGAATGTCTCCCCTGTAAAGTCTCAAATTACTTTGAATTCATTTTTCTCAGTGTTTATTTTCATACTGATCAGGCCATTTGCAGTCATCTGCATGGTAATGTCAGAGACAATTATTTCTTTACCTTTTCTTTGATTTTGCTTTCAAAGGCACAGCTAAAGGCAACCCAGATTTGCCTTTTTTGAATGTGCTTTCCAAGCCTTTTAGATGAAACCTGGAGAGGTACAAGCCAAGACAGAGGTTTAAGAAGACCTAGATTGTGTGTTTTGTTCTATAACCAAAGGACAAGGCCCCAGTGCTTTTCAGTTTCTTTCTGTAAATGGAGATTTAGATTCTGGAAGACAGAGATTCTTCACATTAGATTAAATTTGCTGAATTAAATTTTCAATACTGTATTTTCAATGTGACTAGTATATGTTGTCCTTGTCTAGATCACTGATTATATTAATGGTACATTTTTTTAAGTGCAAACCATCTTCAGTGCTTAATTTTATCTGTCATGGATTAATATTTTTCTGCTCAGTGTGGGGTATTTCATCTGTGCAATTGACTGAACCTGCTCCAAGTTTGATTTTTTTTCCCCTATTTCAGTGCTTTTATATGTGAGGAAGGAGACAGATGAGGTGTTTGATGCCTTGATGCTGAAATCACCCACAGTGAAGGGGCTAATGGAAGCTGTAAGTATCCAATGTCCTCACATTATTTGTCTTTCTTGGCAAGAAATTCTTGAGGCTTTCCATGTATTATTGAGATAAACCATAATATAAAGATGAAGTTATTCTCAAGTGCATTTAAAACATTTCTTAAAGGCTTTCTGGAGCTGTGAAATGCTGGCGTTTTCCTAATTCAGTGTTATCAGCAGGTTACTGGGTTTAAACAGCATCACAGAGCTGATTATTGGAGACCTGAGCTTTGAGGAATTGCAGTAGTTAACCAGTGTTAGGGAAGGAGAGAGGTGCAAGCTTCATTTTCTGAAATGCTTCTTTCTGAACTGATGGTTCAGATCCTGTTGAATCTTTTCCTGTAATGCTTGTCAGTACATTCCCAGCCTGGTTTCCAAGAAGAGGCCCAAGGATGCACTGTTTCTGTGGGAATTTCATGTGGCCATTGTGCAATTGCTGTTCAGCAGGTGCTGAGCCAGTGCAGACTTGTCATTCATATGTTGTCTCAAATTACTTCTCTAGTCCTCACTTACGGCGTGACCTACCTAACACTTGCCTCTTGCTGCTTCTTTGAGTTTTTGCTTGTTACCCATTAGCTGTCATCATACGAGTTGCTGTTTCCATGTTTAATCTTGTTTATATGAGCTGATGGCTCATGAAATTTGGTAAGGGAAGAGTTAAAAAATAATCAGTGGAGGAATGTGAGATTGACATGTGGGATGCTGAGTTGATTTCCAGCCTTGTTTACGTGTAGGGGAGAAGACGGAAATGGATGAAAGTGCCCCTAGAGAGCTCAGCCAAGTGCTACATGTGTGTATATTTATACTCTCTTAAAACCGTCACAGTATCTTGTTGCATTTACTGGATGCTTTTAATGCAGTAAAGATTGAGTTATTTGGTCAATATTTGGCCAGTAGCAGAAGGCAGAAAAAGATTTATGGGTTAGTGAAGTTGCTTAAAGCATCTATTTAGATGAGGGTATCTCTGAGGAGAGTCAGTGGCACGCTGAGGATGTCCTAACTGTGCTTCTGCTGATGCTGGCTGTTAGCTGTGACTGCAGCTCAGCTGTCAGGCAGAGCACATGGATAACAAAAACCAGGCTTTGCTTGAAGAGGCAGCAGTCTGATTCATGGTAAACTGCAACAGGATTTCATCTTGTCTTTGTATGGAAGTTAAAAGTAGGTTATAATCCTTCTATAACTGTTCAAGCTAGCATGAATATTTTATCTCCAGTAGTCTGTGCCTCTCCATGCCTGTTCTCCAGCCACCATGTAACAAAAACAAAGCTGGTGCAGAAGCAGGAAGGGTTTCTGCATACCTCAGTCAGTGCAGCTGCTGACTCACTGGCATGTTTTCAGCACCAGAGAAATCTGATCTGTTGTAAAATGTCCCAGTTCACTGGAAGGAACACATTCAGAAAATTTTAATTCTCTTTGGTAGGATATTGTGGATAAAACAATGCCAAAAAGCTGTCAAACTGCATATTCTTAAATATTCTCTCTACAGTCATTGCAGCAAATCATGTAATTTTGTAATTGTGCATATCCTAAATGCGTCATTCTATTCTCAGTATTAAGAATTTAGGAACTGAGCCTCTGAGTATTACAGAGCCCCAGATCTGAAAGGGAGCTCCAATGATCCTAAGTCATAACCCTCCTTCTCTGTTTATGGATTTTGGTTTTTTTTCTTTTTGTTAGTTACTATTCCCGATCTTTGACTTTTCCCCTAACTTTCTGTTATTAATGATATGGTTTTCTCAGATACTATGTTAATTTTATTCTCACCTATACCCCCATTCCAAATTAACAATTAGATTCTTTTTCAGATGTCTTTCTTTTGGCAAATATCTAGGGGTTTTGGGTTTCAGAAGTGCAGCATGTCTCAGGAAGCGACTCAGATGTTTGATTTTTGCTAATCAGTCTTGATCAAGTGAAAATAGCAAATCATCACAAATATGTGGTGACTGACCAGCTCTACATCCTGATTTCAGCCTGATCCAAAGTCAGGATAACTGTGGATCTCAGTAGGTACCTCAGTCTTACATTGCGCAAAATTGCATATTTATTCAAATTACAGAAGGCAGTTCAAAAAAATTGGGAAATTCAAGCATCTCCCAAAGTCTTTCCGTAATTAAAAGCTAACAGCTGAGTTCAATAGAGCTAGCTTAGACTATTAGATACCTGCCTATATATGTGATCTTCCAGCCAGTGTAGGGCAACAGACCAGACCATTTAATAGAAATAAGCTGGCAAAGGTGTTTTCCTACATGCCTTGACCCACCCAGGTATTGCCCTTTCTGGTTTCCTGACTCCAGCAGAGAGCATTTCTGGTGACTTGTGCAATCAGACAAACTTGCCATGCCAGGGGACTGCAGTCCACAGGGACACCCAATATGCTATTTCAGTGCCACTCAGAAGGCTGTTGCACTGCTTCAGGCATCCTAACAGAAACAAATCTCTGCTCAGAAGACTGACAAATGGACAATTGAGATGATAAGGAAAAATATTCCTCCAAATAAGGACACCTTTTTAAAATTTAATGTAGCCTGCTTGGGTTCAGGTGAGAAATCCTGTTGTTTTGTATGGAAGTTGGCAATAAGTGGTGGTCCCCCTGTGCTGGCAGCAAACACTCTGAGAAGAGGGTGTTAAGTGAGATGCCCTAGCAGATGCTCACCCTATGCTTTCTCCAATTCTGCAGCAGGACTTAGCACATTTGTACTGGAGACTATGAGGGGGAGGTTCTCCCATACCCCCACTTTAAGCCTTGCTTCCACAGCTTGCTGTTTGGTATAATTGATTGAATCCCAGGGGTTCCTGAGAAATGTGCTTATTCAGTCAGCTGGAAGTCTTTTGCAAAGCTCAGTAATCCCTGCATGTTATATAAATCCTACACCTGTCATAGGCAGTGTGACAGGCAAGGCTTTCTCAGCCCAACCTCTCATAGTTTATGTAGGAAGTGATGTCCCAGAGTCCCAAAGTGCTTTGAGCAACATTTGGAATGCATGAGTGTTAGGTATGCCAAATATCCTGGGGAAGATTTATGCTGGAATGTGCAGAATGCTGTATATTAGCTGCTATTAAGCCTCCTTGGCAAGAAATGTTTTGCTCGGCTTGTTTATTTGCATGGAGTCAGTGAAAAGTGTCTTCAAGTGCTGATCTTTACAATATCACTGGGCTTCAGAGTTAACAACCCAGAGAGGGAGATAATTTCCTCATGTTCACACACTTGTGACACTTTCTGCAGTTTCAGGTTGCCAGTTTTTCTCCAATGCCTGTTACAAAGGATTTTTTTCAACTGTCTGATTAAATTGAGCCATTTTTATTATTGCTTTACACGAAAACTTAAAGTTAGGGGTACAACAGAAGCACAGATATAAAAATTCAACACCAGATTGTTTATCTGATGTCATTCTGTTCATGATAAGCAAAGCCAGAGGATAATAAAGAGTAAATGAACAGTGAAACCTGCTGGTGCAAGTGAAACTGAAGTAGCAGATACCACCCAAATTCAGTTTGTATTTTTTCACTGCTAGGTAGAAAACTTAGGGAGTGGATGGGTCTATTGTACTCCATCAGTTATTCCCCTTTCTCTTAGCCACTGATATATGCTAATAGTCAGAGGACACTGTTTTCAGTGTAAGAGAAGTTTTATTGGTTCTTCAGAGTCCTGGAGTTATGCTATAGAATGCCAGTCAAGCTGATAGCTTGTGTATTATTAGGGATAGTTTTTAGGTACAAAATTGCATCTGGGCTGAGATGACAATTATACTGTTTTAGGTGATATAGACAAGTATAGGCTAATTAATTCTCTCTTTCAGAGAATCTTGGCTGTCTGGATGGCAGCTGTGCTTGGTGTTCAACCTGTAGCTCTTTGAATCTGTCCTCAGTGCTGAGTTTATCCATTCCATTTTCTCTTTTGTGATAATTGCTTTAATGTACTTCCCTAAAATACCTTTTCTCAGCAGAACTCTGAATGCAAACACAAAGAAAGGATTTTACAGTGCCTGATGTGTGCCAGTCTTAAATGGATTTTTAATTATGCATTTCAGTTCTCTAATGCAGAAGATAAGCAGTCAGCTCTTTAGCTGCAACTTCATTTCAGTTGAAAAGCTGGAAACTTACTTTGCTTGGCAGTAGAACACCACAGAACATTAATCACTGGGGGAAAAAAATTCATTTTTCTGTAACTATTTTGCCTTTTGGGACAATCCACTTCTAAAGTGTGAACTGTGAGACCTGTTCCCTCAAAGAAGGATCATAATTTGGAAAGCAAACCTGGCTCAGATGAAGGGCCCAGGGACACCATCTTCATAAGCACACCACAGACTTACTGCAGAATAGACATCCAAAAAAGTTACAAGTACACTGCTGCAAAGCAATGCCAAAGCATCCCAGTGAAGTATTTGTTGGCATGGGTAATTTGTCAGCTAAGTAGTTCTTCCTTCTAAAGTTTTACTGTATTTTCTGCTTTATTGTTTTAATTGCTTTAGTACAAAGTTTATTTTAGAAGTCCTTTACCTTGATAACACACTTCTCTGTGAAATCTCATCTTGTTATCTATACACTCAGATGATGTTTTGTGAGCCAAATAGTGTTTTCAGTTTGCTACTCTATTAACTAGACTGAGTCACCTTCCCAACAATACAGAAGCTTCTTAGTCCTGTGTGTTTGATGTTGGTAGTCCTCCCACAATAAAAGGTACCTTGAAGAGACTTTTCAGACAGAAGTACCACCATGGAGAGTCCTGTTAGCTTAATAAAGCTTGAAATGTCTTTGAGAAATAGAAATGTGTATGTTTTTGTTGCTCCATTGGTCCATCAGCTCCTGTTGGGTTGCCATGTGTCTGCCTTCTGCCTGGTGGAGAAGCCTTTGCTTCCATGAGCCCAAGAAATCAGATTAAGGAACAATAGAAAGATCAGACAGAAATTCCCTGGTAAAATCTGAAGCTGGGAAGAGTACTGACTCCTTGAGCAGAGCACTAGGAGATGCTGGGGCAGTTCTGATGACTCACACCCTATAAAAACTATAGTATCTGAGCTTATGGGTAGAGACAATTGTTGGTTTTGATTAAGCTGTTCAGGATTGCTGCTCTCCAAGTCATCCTTAAATGAAAGCATGGTATGATTGTGACAGACTTTTCTGTATAGCTATCCTGTCAAAATTTGCAGAGATTTTGTTTTAATGTCTTACGTAAGGTAAGAGGTGATATTTTTATAATTTTCATTCATCTTTAGTAATATTTCTTTTCTTTTTATTATTTCAGATCTCTGAGAAATATGGGCTGCCAGTTGAAAAGATTGCAAAACTTTATAAGAAGAGTAAAAAGGGGTAAGTTAGTTACCTAACTAAAGATCTATTGCAGGATCCTTTAGAAGTACTCAGAGATCCCAATTATAGCTGGGGCCTCATGATGCTGGGCAGCACAAACTCTTCCAGGAGACATACCCATGTGCTTGAAATCTTCATGTCTATGGAGACTGTAAGGGATGGCAGAAGAGGAAACCTGGATCTCCAATCTGTGTCTGACCAGTATTCATAACCTCACTGTGAAGGAAGGGTTTGTGGATAAGACATCTGGATAAAGTCTGTTTTGTAGACAATATGCTTACTAACATCATGGAGGGCCAGCATGGGAGATGCTGCCTTTGCTGTGAATGCAGTGTGGAGTTTTCCCGCAGTGTTAGAAAGAAGTAGGCCACTGTCTTACTCTGAAAGACAGGCAGGCAATGTTTGCTGCAGGCATTTCAGCTGAATAAATTTAGACATGAACATCACAGCTGGACTTTTAGAATAGCTAGGCTTCTGCTCCTTGCCATAAAACTAAATCTCACCACTTCAACTGTTTGTTAAAGTTCTATTTAACCACAATATTGTAGCATTATAATTTTAAACCAGTCATTTATTTCCAGCTGTAACTAGCTTAGGGCATTGTTGTCTGGGGATTTCTTTAGCTTTTGAGAAGACAGGTGAAACTTCTCATGTTTTGCTTCTTTCTAAGTGACAGAAGAAACACTTGGAGGTAAAGAGTGAGGAAAACACTCATATACACTTGTAATAGTCATTGTTGATAGTCTCACATCCGAGCTGACTTCTAAGTCTGTGAGCTGTGTGCAAAGCACAAATTCCACTCCTTCCCCGTGTTAGCACTCACACCACAGAGGTGCAGCAGCTCACATGGTGTGCCTGAGGAGTGGCACAGATGTATCCCTGTGGGAGCCACTACCAGGCATGGGAAGCACCAGCCAGATGGGTCTGCCAGGGATCTGAAGTGCAGCTCATCTGTAGGTAGCCTAAGTGCGTTAACATCCCAGCACTGGCGTGTCCCTTAACGGCTCTGGCAAGGAGCAGCCTCTGATCCAAAGATTATAAGGGACTTACAGGGCAGATCTTGCTGATAATTCCTACTAGTGAGCCTGTACTGACACGTGCTGGAGTCTGGTTTTGTGTTGTAGAGAAGCAAGTACATGTGGCAGAGTGTATAGTTTTTCCTTTCATTGTCCTGGTACATGAAAACATTGATTTCTGCCTTTGTCACCAGCATCCTGGTAAACATGGATGACAACATTATTGAGCACTACTCCAATGAGGACACATTCATCCTGAACATGGAGAACATGGTTGAAGGCTTCAAGATCACACTGACAGAGATCTAGCCTCAGGCAGAGCCATTTTGTAAGGAACCACAGCATTTCATCCTTCTTGGAAAGCAGATTCCCCGTAAACTTGACAGACATTGATCAGAGAAACTGTTACAAGACTGCATTGAAAATACTGTCCATTCTGCACCTGTGCACCCACTGCAGACAGACTTGGGTTTGTCAAACACAAGGCCATTCACAGTAACCTGGTCCCTTATTTATTGTTCCTCACTCTCTAGTGTACAAGCAGTTACCAGCCCCCAGATTTGTAACCGGATGACCCACTGCAAATGTGAAATGCAGCATTTTAATCCATACTTCAGTGTGGATAAGCTTATTCTAAAACACATTCAGTAACTATGCTGGTCTAATTTCAGAAATCTGGTATAAATCACTTCACCAGTAGTTGTCTCTGTCATTGCTAAAAATCTGTTGCAGTGCTAAAGATGAGCAAAGTGGCTGACAGTTCACTTGCTCAGACTGTTTCGTATCTCTCTATACTGTATAGTCTTGCCAAATACCTCTGGTAGTTCTCAGCACGTAGCAATGAGGACTTGTAAGTAAGGCATTCAGCTACAAATGTCACAAATGTAAGTAAATGGTAAAGAAACCATTTTAACCTTGTATATAATGTTTATAATATGCAATAATATATTTTAACTACTGTATGTGGGCATGTTTACTGCCACTATGTTTTTGTATGTATTTGGTTTAGGGTTTAATAGAATCTTTCCTAGAGGATTAAATTGCTGCAATCTGTCAAGAAGTGTGTACTGAGAAGCTGATAACTGGATCTGTACTCATATGCTCCATCCTTGCTCACACAATTGTATATTGAAATATTAGAGCAGACTCTGCTACTGGGTCTTCGATGCTCTGGCACAATGGGACCCACCTTCGGTGTCCAAGTCCAGCTGTAGATACCTGAGTCTCCCATCCAGCTGTAACAGAATCCAAGAGATACCATGTGGCTGCTCCCTGGTTTGCCAAGAGGTCCAGAAGGGAATTCTTCCTGGTCATCTTCCTTTGATGAAGCAGAGGCTCCTAAAGTGGTCTTTTCTCAAACATGTGGTGGGAAGGTTCTTTCTGCAGCATCCTGTGCATCGAAGCATTCCTCTAGACTGTAAGGAACAGGACTTCAAACTCTTCCTTTTAAGTGTATTTTGCTCTTGTATTTCCATTGAATGATTCTGTTGTGATTCCTAGGACACTTGGAAGTATCCAAGCCTGGGCTTGATGTAAATATTTTATCAAAACTGGAACAATTTTTCCACTGGAGATTGAGTATCCCACAACTGAGGAGTGGAGATTGGTCTCTCTCTCAAGGGCTGCATCTGAACCCAAGTTGAACATCAAATTCCACGCCTGCCTTACAGATTCTGTGAAGAGATAAAGCTGTGCAGGCTAAAATCATACCAGGAAAGGGGTTCAAGACCTGAATATCCCTATGACATCCAAACCCATCATCTCTGTCTCCATTCCAGCTCCCCTGGCTGTTGTGAAGAGCTCCTCACCTAGCATATAATTCCATGGGTTTCCGTTGCATTTTATTCTCTATGTGCTGTACATGGATCCTGTGTGACAGACAGAAGTGGGGGTCCTTTCCTACATGCAGCTTTTAGAGTTTATTCTTTTCCTTCTAAAACCTTTTCTCGTTTGGTCACACAACCTTCATTATTTGGTGGTTAATGGCAGAAAGAAACACTGCCATGTTTAACAGGGCTCATGTAGTGTTTTGAGTTGTGTGGAGCTATTCACATTCAAGCAAAGTAGCTGGGATGACTGACCAGTCTGATTTGGCCACATCTGCATTAATTGTCCTGTAAGTTCACACTTTCTTAACTTCATTAGCAGTAGCATCCCATTAAAATCTCTTTCTTTAATAGAAATGTTAAGTACATGTCAAGGTTTCTGTGGGATCAGAGACTATAAAAGGTTCAGGCTGGTAGCATCAGCACTAACATACCCAGAATTCACATAATGCCTGTAAAGTGCAGTGTGTATTCTGTCTTTCTCCTGCCCTTTTCTTTTGTCATGCACTCTTTCCCCTTCTAATGCAGAGTTCTGTTGTAATTTCCTTAACTTTAAATAAAAATGCACTCCAGCAAAGATGCTCTTGCTATGCTGCTCAAGAGCAAACAATCTGGGAATACAAGAGATTTATGATGGTTCAGTTTGTTTCTATTTGGCTCAGACTGAGATAAAAAGTCTATGCTGACTTATCCCAGATATTTTTTTCTTAAAGAAAAAAAGAGGACAGTTGGTACAGGAGGCTTTAGGAACTGGGGCCAGCACACAGGACTGGTGAGCAATGTCATTAGTTCTTGTATTTCTTTGTTGGTGTTTGAAATCCTCAGAATATAATCTGGGATCTCAGCTGGTCAAGATGTTTGGGCAGAAGCTGCAGGTAAAGCAAAGGAGTAAATGTATGCAGAAGTTGAGCCCTAGTTCTGCCCCCAACAAACCTGATGTCCAAGGGAATACTTGGGGCTGGCCTGGGTTGGAATGTGCTGCATTAAGAAAGGCCAGTGAGAATTTAGGGATCACAGAGAAGGACAGGCAGTCCTGGCAGCACCAGCACTCAGGTTATTGGGATGGTTTTGTCTTACATTTGTGTCGAGATGAGTTGAGATCTGTTGGGTGCTGCAGCATCCTGTGATGAGGAGCAGTGTAGGATCAGAGAAGTGCAATGCTCCAGGAATACTGGGGTTTAAGGAGCTTTCCATTGTCAATTTAGGAGCTTTCAGTCAGCCATTGTCCAGAAAAGGAAAGTTGCTTCCAAGATTAACTGAAAGCTATTTTAAATATATCTTAAGGTGTGCAAATTCCTAATAGTAGAAAGCTAATGCTCCTACCTTTAGTTCCTTCTTACAGTCTCAATGAAGTTATCAGGAAGGTACCTAGATTGGTGGTAAGATTATTTTAAAACAACAGCTAGAGCTAGGTAAGGATGATCAGCCTTTACTTTACCTGCCAGGGTCTGAGGACTTTGTTTCTCTGCTCCAGATGCAGGTGCATCACAAGCACTAAGACTGAATATCCATGCTGCACCCCTTCAGTTGTAGTTACAGCATCAGCTGCTGGAGGAGCCCTGAACCTTGGATGCTGGTTGTGGCAAGCTGCAAGCTCTCAGGGTTCACCTCGTTGGTCCAAATCAGCCCATCAGAGTGGTGGGAAAGGGGCAAGAGTGGTATGAGTAATGCAAACTTCTGAAGCAGTGGCTGCCTTGTGCCCTGCTTGACTCAGACATCCTGAGGCGTACACAGTGCTTACATGTATATTGTTTAAAATATGCATGTTGCTTTTGTTTGATCAAAAATATTGATTAATGCTGGATCTTCCAAATATTATGAGTTAAATGGAAGTAAGGTTTGGCTACTGTTCAGCAGGGGACAGGAATACCTGTCTTGCCTCCTTTTGTCTCTTTGTGGCACTGCTGTGGTTGTTTATTTAAAGGAACAAAATTCTCCTTTCCTCTCTTCTTCAAGACAGCAATCTTGAATCTTAACTAGTGCAGCCTGAAGAGTGGCTTGCTGCTCAGTGCATTTTCCCTGTGAAGAGTTGTAGCAATGCAGTGTCTGTAGATGTTAATTTTGAAAGACTCTAGACAGAGAAGTACAAAAGGAGAACAGTTTTCTAATTTTGGTTCCTGCTGCAGATTTGGCACTTTGTCCGTCCATTTGATGTTTTATCATGAAATCCCATTCAAATTCTCAAATTATAGTTCTTTCTTACAGTCAGGTGCTGATATTCCCAAAATAAAGTGCATCCCTTGAGTGAAGCTTTGTGGATGTACGATGATCACTCCAGCAAGGCATTTTGGAGGATTTCTGACACTGAGTGTAAACTACAAAGAAAAGAATGGTTTTTTTCATGTGTGTCCTCTCTCACAAAGTTTTTGGTCAATGGAATTCAGAGATCAAATGTCTTTCTTATATATTTTTTCTTTTGTTCTATGAATTGTTTAAATGTAAATTAATTCAAACAATTAGTAAAATCTAAACTCTCTAGCTGTCAGAGATGCTGTATATTGATCGAAGTGGAACTGGAAAGGAGTATCTTATGACTTATAAAATGTAAAGCTTATTAAATGTTTATATGCTCTTCCATTTCCTATTAATTGAGACAAGATACAAACAAGAATGTTTGTGCCAAAGATTGTGACAAGCCGTCTTTCTGGCAAACAAGAAAACTTAATGTATAAATAGTGTGCTTTTATATTAAGAATATAGCTCACGTAACTTAATAGTGTTGCAACTGGGAGAGGGGTTTGATAAGCTGTAAATACAGTTATTTTATTTTTTGTACATTTTTAAGAAGGAAAAAAATAAATATTCCTATGTATGAGATAATATTTCTGTTGCTGTGGTGTGTATTACTACACCTCTCCAGAAGAGAGAGTATCAGTATGTACCAGTATGTGAAGGGGGTGCAGAGAGGATGGAGTCAGGCTCTTCTAAATGGTGCCCAGTGACAGGAGCAGAGGCAAGTGGACACACACTAAAACACAGGGGGCTCCCTCTGAAATCAGGGAATGCTTTTTACTGTGTGACTAAGCACTGGAGTAGGCTGCCCAGAGAGGTTGTGGAGTCTCTATCCCTGTAGATATTTAGTGGTCCTGGACAAACAACTCGCATTTGCCCTACTTGAGCAGGGGATTGGACCAGATGAACTACAGAAATCCCTTCCAACCCCAACTGTTCTGTGACTCTGTGACTTGTTGGAGTGTCCTGTGAACCTGGCTGGAAGCACTGACACTACATCTTTGTGACTCCTGGGCACCTGAGTTGAGATCCTTACCCACATCTACTCCAAAAGCACGGAAGCACACCTGGCCACATATCTTGCAGTAAAACATTTCCATCAAACATTTTATTCTCCACCAGTTCAGTTTGGCTTTTCAAACAAGATTCAGGAGGTGAGAATATCTTAGTCGGTGGGAAATTGCTTGGGAGTGTATTTGCCTCACTCAGCAAAGGTTGATTTCCCAAGCAGTAGCAGGACAGCCCTGTCTTACAGTGGGGTGGAGGAGTTCAGTGCTCGGGATGAGCCAGGATCAGCTCCCATGGAGCCCTTTAAGGTAATCACATTTCCTGGGCACTGCCTGTGATAGATGTTTAATTATGTTTTG